CATAAAAGGAAACTGGCTGGCGAATATCACAAATTGAACCTGATCAACATAACCTATAAACATTCCAAAATAACTTCTTACGTCGTATTACTGGAGCTCCTTGGTTTATTAGAAATAAATAACTGAACAGAGACCCTAAAGCTGGATGACCTCCCCACATTCATCAACAAAGTCAACAATACTTTTTATACCAAGGCAATACGTAACAATGATGTCAAGGAATGTCAACTACGTAGGTAGTGGCAGTTTTAAGTATGAACTCAAAGAAATTATCATTAATCTCCATACACTGCTCATGCACTCAGAAACCCACTCTAAAATGTTAACCCTACCCAGCTTACTCACATATGTTTAGAATTTATATTTACAATTCTCAGTTCACATTTTTCGCAGCTCTACGTTCACCCGAATCGGACTGTTGTATTATCCTTTCATGGCGTAACATTTTTTTCCAGCTCCAAAATGCAACCTGCATATCTGGAAACTCTACTTCTGATTCGACGTCTAACATCACGAGATCATGCATCACTCCTGATTCACCCATCCAATTCATAAGAGACTGCAGTCTTCGATAGCTCTACGAGAATTTCCTCGATAACAATCATTTCAATTTATTAACACAAATAATTACTTTATAGTTATATGTTTAGAGGATACACTTGTATACTCTTACTCCAGCGCACCGTACTGTTGTGCCTCTCGGTTGGTTTTCTTGGTTTCTCCTATGCATGTTTTATGGTCGACCTCCCTCTTACGTTCTTTCGTCTTCTCTTGAGATGCCATGATCTTGACGATTTTATATTATGTGCCTACGAGGCAATATATTATTGAGCTGTAAACGACAAGCTTTGTGCGATATCGTAGCAGTATCTGCATAGCGCAGAACAGAATACAATTACGTAATTTCCTAAGACTAAGGTCTATTCTTTTCTAAATTTTTCTCTATTATGTTATACCTTTCCTACTGAAAGCTCCTTGAGGCTCTGTACTCGTACGTACGGTAATCCTACTCGGAGATTAGGTGAGGTGCACCAAAAAGTAAGGTATAATTTTCTCTAATCCTGGCAAAGCCAAAAGAATCAAGGCATGTTACAATAAAAATTAGTGTGTAATGTTTTAGGCTGTTTGTTCCTTTTAGAAGCATCCAAAGTTTCATTAATTACAAAACTGTAAACAAATTGCAGCTAAAACTCAGATTACTAAAAATTAAAAACATAAAATTGAAACATAGAAAGTTTGAGTTGCTAATATTTTGAGAGTCTTCATACGAAGGGAATGGTAGACTAATTAACCAGGCAAAATTAAACAGAACAAGCCCTTTTTTCAGCTTTTGTCTCGCGTGGAGCCCATTTTTCTCTGCTATATATATTTTTATCAAATGTAAATGCAAGCAATTTTTCATAACTTTATTATTTGACACTAGTTTATATTTCTTGGTTAATGGTTCGACTATCAAATGACGCATCATGGCAGTCGCCTTGGAACTTTGGCTTTCAGTTTTGTTTAAAAGTTGTTGTCTGATATAGCCATCTTTAAATGTTAGACTGGATGTACTGTAGTTGTATGTCAATCACAAAACTGTTGACGGGTTGAGATAATTTTAAATTCTGCATTCAGAATCAACATTAGCTGTGTGTACTTGTTCCAGCTCCCTATTAACATAACACAATACAAGTCCATGCCATGGTCTTGACAATTCCAATCCATGCCATGGTCTTGACATGCCAGGTCTAATACAATTGTTAGAAGCATCGTATTTTAGGACACGATAGTTTAGATTATGAAGACCTATTCACAGTACTGTAGTACGCTGTAAACATGAATGATAAACCCTTGACCTATATGTATGAAGATATTATCTTACACCCTTAATTCCTATAATGGTCTTGGAAGAAATAAAAGAAGCGGGAGTTCCAGTTTAGATCTAATCGATTAAAGCAAGTCTAATAAGCTAATAATGTTTATGGACCAAAAATTAGAAAACAATTCAAAACACGATTTAGAATTTTTGAACAGTTTGAGAGAACATAACAAGAAAGCAAAGGAATACAATTTGGAGGAAAGGGATATCGCCCTTCTTGGAGACGACAACGTAAAAAGAAACAACTGGTGCTTCGCCAAATTGGTGAAACGGAATTCTGGTAAAATGAAAGAGTACTTGTAGCCGATCTCGAAACCAGCCATCGGCCTTATCTGAGACCTCTCCAGAAATTATATCAGCTCAAAGTTAATGACAAATTGCTAATGAAGCATGATTCCGATATAGTGACCGGAGATTGTAGCTCAACTCCTTGCGCTAATGCTCCAAGTGATCCTGAATGTCTTGAAAATGATGAGGTTGTCATTCAAAACTCATGATTTTGAGGTCCCTCGGAAAAGAGACAATGAATGAACTTGCGACTTTGAAAACTGTTGAGCCTGAATTTTAAATCTCTGAATCTCAAAAGGGAAGAATGTCGCGAGACTGTAACGGACTCGAAGTTTTGATTTCCAATTTTTGAGTAACGCTGTAAAATGCAGAAAATTGTGCTTGTAAATTTAATGATTTGCTAAATTTTATCATAATATCCCTGATGTGGATTCTGACGAATTTTAGATTTAAGCAAAGATGATATTCGCTGTCTGCGTACTGGTTTACGGAAACGGTAGAAGAAACCTCCAGGTGGGTATTCACCGTTCCTTTATTGAGATTTTTTTTAAAAAAAAGCGTCTATAAAAAACTATAAAAAAAGCGTCTATAAAAATATAAAGAAGGGGAAACCCTTCTTTATGGTAATGTATGGATACTGAATTTGAGGGCACAACGTAAATACATTTTATCTATACTCATAATGGATGTTATTAACAAAATGATTTAGCAAACATTCTGTTGATTGTGACTTAGCCTTTACCACAACATTATTCATGACTCTGAATCGCGGGAACAATTAGCAAGCCCAGAAGGCATTTTGAAATTTTCTAAGAAGATGAGTTTTTTCACATTAACGTCTTAATATTACTATAACTATTATTTTGTTAACGGAGTAAACATTAGTTTCAGACAAATTAGAGAAAACATTTGATTGCATTGCATAATTTTTGGAAACGCTTTCCGAGTTTAAAAGTGCTCGAGACAACATTTGCTCCCCTCACGTTAATTTTTAATGCGTTTTCGCACCATGCACTTACTTATATTTGCTGAGAAAGGAAGTAGAAGCCATCCAATATTTCTTGACATATAATATTTACTAAAACTTCGTGAGTGTTCTAATTGTTTTACAATATAACTCAATGAGTGAAGGTACATTGGAGATATAATTTCAACGAAAGCCAGCGAAGTATAAACATAAGTATAAAAAACTGGTTCGAGAGACGTTCCTGTCTTTTTTATTTAACAGAGTTCATATGAGATAAGGGTAAGCAAAGAAGAAGAAGAATGGGATCCGATTTTGAATGTGATTGCCAAACATTGCCCGCCGGAAAGCGAAAAACCCGTTTAATTGATTTGCTGATCAAAATATATTTCGTGCTCAAACGGCGCCAATTGTTGGCGGTGTATCAGCAGGCACAGGTTAATGTACAAGCACTGAAAGTTCTCTGCGACGTAATTATGAAATCTGACGTTTAAGTCATACATGCACTCCAGTAAGAGAATCCTTCAATTGTGAAGACCAAAATTTATAAATTATAAGGTATTTCTCCCGCCTTCTTAGCATGTCTTCATAGTGTAGTGGTATGCACGCTGGGCGCGTATTCCCTAGGTCCGTGGTTCGATTCCCGGCGAAGTCGTTGCTCAATTTTCCTCTTTCCTCATTTCCAAAAATCCTAATGTCTGTGCAAAATATATAGACAATCTTGAGCATAAATACATCCATGATGTGCTACATTGTCATCCGTAAAATAATATTAACTACGTAAAGTCTTAGTAGTTTTATATTTCTGGGGCCCATCATCGAGCGAGTGGTAAAGTCGCTGAACACCGGTAGTTCCGTCCGGTTTTCAAATCTCCGCGAACAAGCACGCTGCACGGGTGTCTTCGTGGTTCCCCCATACGTAACGTAAATACGTAAAAGAAAAATTTCGAAATTCCTCCACAAAGGAATCCCTCCCCTTAGGCAGATTATCCTCGATTATTTGCCTTTATGTAAATAAACCAAACCAACCTTTAATTTCTCCAGTTATTTGTAGTTTTGCGTTATTGAATATTAAAGAATGACGTGAGGCTTTTAAAGTTTAAGTAATATAAGGTTTAAAGCTCTAATTCGTATACTTAGAGGCTTATACTCATCTATTCATTTCTTCAGTTGAGAAATGGAAGTGACGAAATCTTTATTGCTGTTTGGAGAAACTGTCACATTTTTTATTTTTAAACCGACATTTTCATAAGCCGTCCAAACGGGTTAGTGGCTAACAATGCTGACTGCTATACCGAAGCGTCACCGCTCGAATCCCGAAGAAGAGAGGGATGTATGTAAATGTATAGTATCTTTGCCGCATGGGGTCCCTCTAAATATGCGGTGAGCCGAAAGTCCTTTCGAGAGGTTGCTGTGAGAAGCCGTACTGTCATCTGTATGGCGGCCAAGGTTCTTGACAACATCAGGCGCAGTTTTGACTCCTTGCCACATCTAATTTCGTAGACTTGTTCTGATTTCAGAGACCTCATCTGATGTTACTGCCGATCAGGTGGGATAAATCACAACATTTTATTAAAAAAAAGAAAACCCCTATTTTTTCCACAATTTTCTTTATTTCTAAAGATTTAATATTCTCTTTTTTTCGTTTATAAAACTCAGAATATTTTTAAAAGTTTAAGTAATATTCAGTGGGCTTCATTAAAGATTCTCGCGGGGCGTAATGTGCCCGCATACAGCACTGTTCTGAAGGTCTGTTGCCTAACGGAAAAGGTACGTATTTGAAAAAAATTGACATTTTAGAGTCGTTTTATTAACATACTTGAAATTTTAGTTTTAAACGCTAACACCTGTTTTAAAATTTATTCTCTAATAAAAATTCTTTTTCAGATCAAGGTAACTATTTGTATGTGAACGGAAGCGCATCCAAAGCGAAAGGTGTCCGATTACAAACAAAAATTTTGGGCGTTTCCGTCTACTGCGTTAGCTTCTTCTACAACATGTATAGCGCAGGCAACGGAAGGCTGACTGTGTACACTCACAGTCTTTCCCAAGATTACGATGAAGTCTATTTCATTCGCAGTAAGACACAAGGTAATCGCTGGGAGAAAGCAGAATTCACACTTTCAACAGATTTTTACAAAAAGACCATAGTAAGTAGAAGTTTAACTTATAAGATATTTCTCCCGCCTTCCTAGCGTGCCTTTGTGGTGTAGTGGTCAGCACACTGAGCCGGTATTTCAGAGGTCCGCGGTTCGATTCCCGGGGAAGACGATTGCTAATTTTTCATCTCTTCTGCTTCCAAAAATCCTAATGTCTGTACAAACGTATTATTTAAACATAAATGCTAGCAAAATAAAAAAATGTGTAGAAATTTGGAAGGAAAATTTCTAGAGACAAGACAAGAATTCGCTAAACACAAAATCATGAATTAAAGACCGTAAGTTTATTTTTTATCAAGTGTAATTTTATATTTCTCTCTAATTAGATGAAATTCTGCAGAAGAGCTGCAAAATCAGATTAATAAACTAATGCTTCTATCAGAAATGAAAGTTTATCAGTTCAAGAGCAGTACAGGCAATGGTTAAAGGCGCTAGATACTAGATAATATTAAATATTCGTTTTAGATTCGATTCACATTTAAGCTGCGTGTAGTTTTTCATTGGTTTTTACTTCCTTTACGAAATATTGTAAAGGCGAAAAATTTTGGGTGTCATATTTCAACATTAATACCCGTTTTGACCGCCCCCGAATCTATTTGAGAGATTGTGTTCCGTGACATCTGTACGTATGTAACGAATAAAGGATTCTTTTCTCCAAAACGGATTGTAAAATGGATTTAAAATAGATTCAAAAGAGATTTGTGACGCCTATACGTACGTACGTACGAATGCGTCTCGCATAACTCAAAACTGTAGCTCCAGAACTTTGAAAATTTGTATATGTGACTACTATAACATGTAGCTCTAGACTTCGTTTTTTGGTTTCAATCGGCTGCAAAAATGTATGCATGTAAAATGGATTTAAAATAGGTTCACAAGAGATTTTTGCGTGGCGTCTCTAAGTATGTACGTACGAATCAAGCTCGCATAATTCAAAAACGAGTAGCTGTAGAACTTGAAATAGAAAACATGCGTCAATCGTCTTAAAATGAAATTGGTGGCTTATTAGAACTTGCTGAATCAATCGGAAGTTTTGTCGACATAGCTATTGAGGACGTTCAAAATTTATTAGCGGAAGAAGAAATTGACGAAGCAGATTTGATGGAATTGGCATCCGAAGCGGTAAATCAAACCAATTCTGAGGACACTAGGACTAATCAAGATTGGGCAGTTAATAATTTAACATTAAAAAAATTAAAAGAAGGCCTTAAGCTTAGCTGAAAATCTCGAATCATTTTTCTTGACTGCTGACCCTTCCGCTGAAACATGCCGAAAATTCAAAAGGGGGCTGCAAAACTGTCTAGCTCCTTATCGAGAAATTTACATTGACCCGGTAAGAATTCGTAAGCAAAGATGAATTACAGATTTTTTTAAAGATGGAAGAAAATGCTAGAACTTTCAACGAAGAAAGAAATTCTGAAATCGAAAGCGATTTCATTCCACCGAAAAACTTTCTCGATTGATTATACTGAGCAGTGACAGCGAAGAAATTTATTAAACTAAAGTTGCGTTAAATTAAAATATGCAATATTTTTTGTTTTGTATTGTGCATAATATATAAATAATTTTAAAAAATTAAATTGGTTATGTAGAATTTTAAAAAAAAATATTTGTTTTTAATAAGTTTTCGGATTGTAACCCCCCTTTTTATACTGGCTTTGAGTCTCATACAACACGGATTCACACAGCACGGCAATTTGTAGGAACCTATCTACCGTGCTATACGAGGGTTACTTGATCTTTTCTTTCGGTCTTTCCTTATTTTGTGAGAATGGTACAAGGGAAGGGCTCCTTAAATTCAGTACTACGATGCTGCGATTTTATTCTGTTGTTGCTGAGATTAATCTCGCTTGTTTGATATCACAGAAAGCTCATGAAATCAAGTGAGTAAGGAGGTGAGTAACTATTATAACTAATCTGATCTAGGAATACAATCTTGAAATAAAGCTCAGACAAGGTAAAAAAATGAGTCACGTAGATGCATTGAGCCGATCGTCAGTTGATCAGGCAGAAGAAACTTTATAACTGAAAACAACTGAAAACAAGTTCTGTCCTTTATCTTTTTCTTTAGCTAACGGCTAAAGAAAAAGATAAAGGACAGAACGAATGCCGGGAAATATGTAACTGAAAATTGCGTCTTGAAAAATAATGGATTGTTTCGTAAAGTAACACATCGAGAAAAGACGAAATTGTTATACGATCATAACTAAGTCGATGAGAAAAGGTATTGTAGTAAAATTTCACGATCTTTTGGGACATTTTTCAGCAGACAGAACTGTTGCCAAAATCAAAGGAGTCATATTGGTTATAAGGAATGAAACGCTATGTTATGCGTCACATTTCGATGTGTTTAGAATGCCTAGTGTTAAGAAACAAGGAGTACTGCATCCAATTAGACCTGGTAGAAGACCTTTTGCAATCATACATATAGATCATTTAAGACCGTTTATAAAAAGTTCAAGAGGAAATACATAATTATTTGTAATAATTGATAATTTTTCAAGATTTACACATCTATATTCTATGAAATGTACTGCAACCAAGTATGTGTTAGTTGCATTGAAGAGTTTTGTAGATGATTTTGGGTTACCAGAAAAAATATAGATGAGCATGTTTCACAGCGAATAAAGCGATAGATGAGCATGTTTCACAGCGAAGGAATTTCGAGCATACTGTCAAAATAATGGAATCAGACATATGCTCAATTCAACTCAACATCCAAGTGGTAATGAAATGGTGGAAAGAGCAAATCGAACAATTGTGACTACGATTAAAATGAATAAGGAAAATCCGAATCATAAGGACTGGGACAAAAAGATTAAGGAATGCGAAAGAAATTTTAAAAATATGATAAATAAGGCTACAAATACTGTTTTCAAAATGCTTCACGGTTATTCACCAAAATTCAACCACGGATTGATGAGGATGATTATAGACGAAGACGCAAATGAATGGGGGAATCCAATATTCTTACAGAAGGAAGATAAAAAAAAAGAATTGAAGATATGCAGATGAAAATGAAAGCAATTAGACAATTCTTTATAGAAGGGAGAAATAGCAGTTATGAGAAGGTACCTAAATCAACTAGAAATACCTAATCACCAAAACAAACGAGGACAGAGGGGCAGTTACAAGTTTTACAAGTGATATCTATAGAGTGACTCAATTAAAGAAGGTGAAAGGACGTTTCTTTAGTACGACAGCTCATGTGAGCCAATTAAAATAACATCAGTGTCAAGCTGAATCAGAGGAGGACGATGATGACGACATAAGGACGGTGAATCTATATGACAGGTAAAGGTTTTCGAACCATAAATTTTAATATTATAGATTTAATTGTTAAATATAAGTTCTTAACGTTCTGAGATTTTAACTAAGTTAGGATGCTCGAATGTAAACGCAACGCATTGATTTTACTTTAAAGTATATTTTCCCCTAGTGGCAATGAGAGAGTATTATGATAGAAGCCAATTTGAACGGTAATGTTTTCTGAAGTGGGTATAGTAATTTTGTATTTTCAGTTGTATCGTCTCAGTGATATGTAAGTAATGCGAGAGTAAAGATTTATTAACATAAGTGAAGAATACCAATTAAGGAGGGCTGTATGCACTAAAATTCTTAAAATAGCATGGAAAAATTGCTTCATGCTGTCAGTCAAAGCAGCGCGTTTATTTGAAAGTCACACTTGGAATTAAATTCTCAGTGTACATTGATATCAATTATGTCCACAGGTTTCTCTTCTGCGCTTACTGATTGGAACACTGTATAAAAGAACAGCGGATTTTTCAAGGGTCGGCATAGCACTTCCGGTAACGAAAATCATGTAAGGGATGATCGGATATCCTTAATACAAATGCATATTAATAGCACATTATTGCACAGTTCTTTAAAATTTTTTTCTCAGCTCAGTTTTAGGGTAAAAATTAAGGTCGAGTGCACTGTCACCTTTATTTAGAAGAAAATATTCTCAGCTCATTATAATTTAATTTTCCTTCAACTAAATATATAAAGCATCATTATTACACACATAACTTCTATTCTAATAAAGACTAGAAATAAATTAAACACGGTGAATTGTATACAAATTTATGACTAAATTTCATCGATCTAAAACTAAATACGTGTTAGAAATTATTAACCTCATCCCTCCAACTCACAATCTTCTGAAAAGAATTTAGTAACCAATTGATTTATTTATGGCAGAATATGCCAGTGTTTCTCAACCTGTGGGACGCGCCCCCTAGGGGGGAGCGAGCACATTAAGGGGGAGTGAGCATATCCAGTAGAAAATATTATTTAAAAAAAGATATTAATTAACTAAAAAGAAAGCATACACACACACACAAAACAAAATATATTTTGTCATAATATTTAATAATTATTAAATTAAAATAATTAATAAATCAAAACTTACGTAATCAAAACTTATTAAATTAAAACAATTTTAATAATTCTTAGTGACTTCTTTGGGCCTGTCTTGCAGAGCAAAGTTTTTCGAAGGAAGGTTTTTAATATTAGAAATAGACACTCTCAGTTCTTTTTCTATATTTAGCTCAGATCTACGTTTTGCCTTCAATGAAGCCACCGCAGAAAATCCAGTTTCACAAAGGTAGCATGTTGAAAATGGTAATAAAATGCGAAATGCCCTTGTTTTTAGTGCAGAGAACTCATCACTCACTCCTGCCCAAAATTCAAAGAGTGATTTATTACTAAATTGTCTTTTGGTTTCACCAATCGTCGTGAAGTCTATGAAGGTTTCTTCCTTAGCAACTGAGAGCAGTTCGGGAGTATTTTGAAATGGATCTCTAACCCACTCGTAACTTTCTATGAGTTTGTCGACAGCAAGGAAATAATTTGTAAAATTCTTTGTCAGTATGGCGAAATGATTTTCAATGGTTACAAAAACCACTTTTACATGTTGTTCTTCAGCCTTGTAAGTTTTAATACAATCATCCACATTTGTAAACATTGTTAGGTTTTTTTTTGCTTTACATTTCTCCTCCGCAATTCCAATTTTCTACAAAAAGCATTAACTTTATCACTCGTATCCAATATATGTGTATTTGCTCCTTCGAGTTGAAGATTCAAGTTATTTAATTTCTCGAATATGTCGACCAAGTAGCTCAATTTCATCACAAATAAACCATCGCGAAAATTCTCGGCTTCATCTCTTAATTCATAAACACGTTGCAAAAATTTCTCACGTGATAACCATCTTGACTTACAATAAAATAGTAACACTGAATGGACGGCACCAATGTCTTTACAAAGTGCGGAAAAGATTCTTGATTTTACTACAGTTACAACGGTAGTTAACACAATATGCAGACTAGAATTCATTTTTTTTTTTTTGGAAGCTAAAGCTTCTCTGTGGATCATGCAATGTGTCCAGACACACTCTGGCGATTTTTGTTTTACAAGTGCTTGTATACTTTGGAATCTTGCTGACATTGAACGAGCAAAATCATTGCATATTCCGACGAAATTTTTTCATTCTATAGTTGCTTCGTTCTTAAAATCATTTAAGATAGCAAATAATGCGTGTGCTGTTGCTTTGAGTTCTATTGGTTTGCAGGAAAATAGTAGAAAAAAATACTTCTACTATTGACATATTCATCACAAATCGAACATAGGCAATGAAACGAGCGTCTTTATTACTATCTGTTGCTTCATCGAGCTGTGCTGAAAATAATTTGTTAGGCAACTTCGAGAAAAGGTGACACTGTACATTTTCAGCTATATCACTAATTCGACGGGGAACAGTATCATTTGAAAGATGTATGGACAATTGCTGCAATTGGTTTGCAAAATTAGAACAGAATAAAACAGAACGGTAATAAAAGTGTAGCAGATTCTTGTTTTGCCAATGCTGAGGATCGGTGTTTCCAATTGTGAATAAATTTCAGTATTCTTGTTACTTTTTAAGGTTTAAAATTAAGATTGTAGTGTAGGTTTAGCGCCAAAAATACTCAAAATAGATTATAATTGTATACACTTTATTATATGGGGGGGGACGCGACGAAAATTATGACTAAAAATTGGGCCGCGAATACTGAAAGGTTGAGAAACACTGGAATATGCTATTAATTTATTTGTTTGAAATAGTTTTAAATTTAATATACTTTGATATATAGTTAATTTTCGAAGCAAAATATGAATTTTCATCTGAAGTCGGAGGAATCATAGCTCTGGACGATATACATTTGGCCTACCATAAATGCTCAAATGGTAAGCTTTTCCCATTTTCAAATATTAATTAATATTTTCCGTTTTCAAGAGTTAGTGAATAAAAGTAACAGAAATACTTTTTTCTTGAGTAAATTAATGCTAGTTCAGTAATTTAATGAATTTTGCTGATGTTCTGATATTACGTTTTTAATTAGTAGTTTTAGAGTGCAAACTATTAAAAGAAATCAAAAACCTCTTTCTAATCAGGGCATCAGTCGGTTTGCACTTTTGATGAATCAAGCTGTGGCTACAATGCTTTGTATACAGGACCTTTAGCGTGGAAGAGGAAAGATCAAGAGAAGACTGGATTTTTATTGAGCATTTTACCACGTGTTGATCATACCTTAGGAACATCAAGTGGTAAGTATGTAAAATGAAGTAATGAAATTTATTATGCAACTTTGCGGGTTGTATCGACGCTCTTCGCACATTTTTTAGAGGATTTTACTTTGCAGTAAACAAAAATCCTCTGCACGGAAATTTTTTTTAACTACAACTATGCATACATTATCGTCTGCTACTCAACAGTTTTGTTTTTATGCAAAATGGCTCTTTTAAAGAAGCAATGGATGAAAGACTATGTTGGTCCTTCTTTCGAAGAAACATGTTTGTATCTAGCTATTAGAAAATACTGTGAAAGCCCTAGGATTTCTATATCTAAAGCTACGATACGTGATATTGTAAATAAGGAAAGATAACAACTTCAGAGTTTGGCTTCAAATGGGAAACTTTTGCCAAATACATATCCAAGGAGAAAGTTGCAAAGGAAATATTTTTAATGTTAAAACAAAATACGGTAAGTCAAATGATAGTTGCAAAATCTTTTAAATTCTCACTGTCAAGTGTAAATATTACATAATGTTAGTTCGAATTCCCTCTTTCTTCCTATAGAGGATCTTCATTTTCCTCCTTCCACTTTCCTCCACGGCATATCACCGAACGCAGAACGCGTTGCAGATTTCTAGCATTTATCCAAATGAAAATTTAAAAATATTGTCCCAACAGATGAATCTTGTTGTGTGTAAAGGAGTGCAATTAAACTCATGGATTTCTGAGGTTTTGGACTTCTAAGATGTGGATCGTCGAAGCATCGACCAACAGCCCTCCTTGGCCTTTGGAAACTGTTTAACAGGAATGGGATAAAACACCTCTTCAAATTCTTTATTATCAAGGTTTTATTATGGTGAAGAATAAGCGTTATCCACTAAAAATTTGAAACACAAAACTTTAGATAAAATATTTCCGCAAATACTATGAAATTCGTCTAAACATGTGCAAACCGCATCTCTAATTCCAGCCTGGACCTCAATTTCAATTGAGGGTTTTCGCGAAACTCCGGTGATACTGAATAAGTTTCTAAAAAAGAATTGTATATTCTCATATCTTATTAGAAACGACCATGCTTACTTGACTTGAAAATCGAACTAAGAGTGTAAGGATCCTAAGTTTTACTAACGTTTATTTTGTTTTAAATCTTTACTATCACTTCTTATTTTCTACTTCCGGCCAGAATTAAAAGCTTTAACTTATTTATGCAAATTTGTCTTGCTAACGCCAAGTACTTGAGTTGTGGCTTTTTGCCAAGTAGAGAGAGGAAGGAGTTATTAGAAGCAGGCCGCTTGCTATAGTAGTTTTACTCGTTTGCTGGTTGCCTTCAAGGCCAGATTTTCTCTTGATAATTTTAAACGTATTGTAGTTTTAGCAGCTCTCTGTACTACATACGGATTTTTGTTAAAAATCTTAAGTTGGGCACTTGTATATTAATCCAAAGTTAGTTTTAGTTATAGTTTTAGTTAGTAGTTTTATATTCTTACGTTCAGACCACAAGTGGTTGGTCTCTGTATTCCGAAGTTCCGGAAATCGCTGTTAAGATAGAAGAATAAAGGGTTTCGTATACCCTTCCTGTGTGTATTGTCTACTTCACAATTTATTGAACATAGCTTGAATAAGCTTCCTGTTCCGAGACAGGACAGTTCATGTTTCCAAAGCAAGTAAAGAGGAACACAAGTCCTGATAAGAGTAGACAACATTGCTAAAATTAATAAGAGTTTCTTCAAAACTGGACTCAGCTGTGATGCTCCAAAATTTTTAGAAGTTACCAAATCATTCGAGAAAATAACCTGATCAGACTATTTGATAACCATATATTTAGAGGTCACAATTTCGTAACCTAGCTTGGACTGCTGGTTTGTACTTTTTCTTTTGAGTGACGTCAATGGCCTGTTTTTGCTTTCCATCTGATTGACATCCTTGAAGTAGTAGTAGTAGTAACGGAGGACATGGGCACCATCCCTCTACCATTACGGCTAACCGGCTCTGCCCACGTCCGCCCTTGTCTAGTATTTATTAATAATTCTAAAATTTTCACATTGCCATATATTGTGGCTGATTTACAAATAACGTCTATACAATAATTGCGTTTACATTATTATCATAACTTATTTCATAAATTTTGGTTGGAGAATTTTCTCTAATGAATTTTTTCTTTTGTCATTTCTCTTTATTTTTAAGCATTCTATATATTATTTGTTTATCGTGAAGTTTCTCTTTTGTTATTTGCACCTTGCACATCCTTGCAGTACAGGAGATGATCGTCTCCTCAACTTTACCCCACAATCTTGACCCTCTGGAAGTTTTGGCCCACCAGCGGCCGAGAGTTTAAGTCGCTGAACACTGTTAGTTTGGCTCAGGGATCGAATCCCGGCAAAGGGGCTGGCTGCATGGGCAATTTCGTGATTTTCCTCATATGAAATTTGTTTACGGGCCAGTTTCCCTTAGAACGTCCTCCGCGAAGACATCCCTCCCCCTTAAAAAGAAAGCCCTCGAGTAATTTGACATAATCCAATAAACCAGACAATATCCTTTAGATGTTCATTCAAATTGATACATATGCGAACATCTAACAGGATATAAAATTTATAAGGAAGAACTTTTATCATAAATCAAATTTAAATATTGAAGATGCATATTTCTAAATTTGTTAAGTAATACTGTTTGCAAATCATAAATATTAGAATTTACGTAAGTATTTTATTCTATTTATTATATCTTTATTAGAATTATACGTAAGTATTTTTTTTAACAGCAAACCATTACTTGTAAGTATTCTAGAAGGAGGGTAGTTATATTTCCACAGAACTTCTGTTAACAAGCTGTTGTTGCAATCCACAGTTCCTTACGATAAAATAGTCCAGGCAAGCTCCGCGCAAGGTAGAGGTGGTCGGAAAGTCTTTAAACGAAAAGAAGAAAAGAAGATCTGAATTCGCACTAAAATTTTATCAGTTAAGTAATGTGATCATCACACACAGCTGTTGGGACTAAAGGTACATGTTTTTTTTTCCAAAGCAGCAGTAAGCAGATCTGAACCATAAAGTTTGAATCAACAAAGACCCGCATAAAAATATTCTGTACCTAAAATGGCAGCAGACAAGAAAAATAATTCGAATTGTCATTTGTCAAATGGCAATCGGAAGCAGACTCCAGAATTTCTGAAGCTTTTGTTTCCTTGAATAACACACTAAATAACAAAATTTCTGTTCATCATCGTTTAAGGGGGAATATAATCTAATCCGGAGTGTTAGCCAATGCGGAATCAACGAAAATAGATAAGTCTTTACTTAATAGGCAGAACACAGCACTCGGATCACATCATAAACATCATAAAAGCTCCATCACATCATAAAAGCAAACAGAAATTTTATATTGGGTATCAGCTTCAGATTTAGAAAATATGGAATTATATATATGTAGTATATATAATATACTAAAAATGGAATTATATATATATAATTCCATATTATATTATATATATATAATATGGAATTATAGAAGAAAGTTAGTTTGTCCTGTAATAAGTCAGTCACAGATATAACTATCATCAACAAACTTTCTACGATCGTCTTCTCGGTCCTGGAAAAGATCGACGTCCGCTTAAAAAAAAAAAAAAAAAAAAAAAAAAAACCCTAAAATTAGAGGTATTAATTAAAAATTCGGGTAAACGATCATTTTTACCCTCATTTTTCCGAGTGGCAACAGTCTTGCAAGCTGGAGATAAAAATCTGCTTTATTTTGAGAGTTGTTGCCACCTCTCGCTTTCAAATCCTAGAGTTTGTTAATAAAACAGTTCTAAGTTTTACGATGAAATAAAAATAGTATTGCCAAATATTAAATACATTACTCCCGATTCCAAAAATTCGTAGGAAGCCATTTCGACTATTTCCATCTTCCTACGACTTTAATCAGCCAAAATATTCGTTAAAAACTCTGGAAGCGCTAATTCTCGCCCTCCTTTATCGAGTGGCAACACTCTTGCGCTTTGGAGATAAAAATGCTTTTTTTCTAAGAGTGTTGCTACTGCTGGCTTTCAAATGGTAGAATCTGTTAATCAAAAGTTTGTAAGTTTTACAAAACCTACATATAAAAAGAAGAATATCTCTTTTTGTGTTTGTTTATTCGCGTTATTGATCTCTGATCAGTTATGATAAATTTTTTGCCACATTTAATCGAGTAAAATTGAATATACGTGAAATATTGGATGGAAAGTGAGCTTTTATGACCGCCTGATTAGAAAGACGAAAATCATTAAATACTGCGTGCTATTGTTGCTGATATAACGAGAGAGAATTAGTTCATTTGTCTATAGAAATTTTTATATGGATTCCATATCGCATAAGAGTGAAAAATGTATGAACATGAATCGTATTTTTTGCATCGTTATTAGAGAAAGATAACAGCGATATCGTTCTTTCTGTTGTTAGATACATTACTCTCAATCTCACTTAACTGGTATCGGGTACGGGATACTTCCGATAGTCTCTACATATTGTTGCGTTTTTCTTTTCTGTTCTGATACCAGTTACGTTATTTCTTCCTTCACGTTCGTACGGGGTTTGTAGATTTGGAGTGAATAGCGACGACACTGGATGAAGTAACACTTTATTTATCGAAACACACTTTATTTATCAATATTAATCAGGACAGCTCCAAAACACTTTTACAGTCGTCGAAGATCTACTATAAGCACGCTGGAACAATCAGCTTCACACTGTCAAGCAATAACGGTGGAGACAGCTTCCTGCAAAGCACCCGACTCTGCTTGGTCGTTCTCGGAACTCCACGTACTCTCCAGACTCTCCACGCAACAACTCGCTATGCACTCGACGACACACGAGCACAGCTCCCGACTCTTCGGTTCAGTTGTTCCCGGAGCTCAACACGCTCTCTCGACGATGCACTAACTTCGCTACACTAACAGACTCCTTTGGTGCACTCGACGACCCTCTCGGCACTCGCTGCCCAGCTGTCAACTCGATCGACTCCGCAGGGATTTGCGGACCAGCAGGGTTTATATAGCTTTCGGTTTGTGTTCGAGAACATTATGGGATAAACCGGTAAGAATACGTTCCAGAAGGTTCTCCATCCGTCCATGGGATATCGTCAATTTTGTCGCCAAATGTCGCCAAATGGGAGATTTATCGCCAAATATGGCAACCCTAAAACTGCTTTGCGGGGAAGTTGTTTAATGTTTTCGGTATATTTAAAATCCAAGTCTCGCTGCGTAGCTGCTAGTACATTTATAAAGAAGTCTGTGTGTGTGTTTGTTAGCTAATAACTCAGTGACTACTATAGCTATCGTCACCGAACATACTACAATTCCTTCCTGGGTCCTGGAAAACATCAACGTCGACGTTTTTCCAAAAACAAATATCTAAAATCAGATATATTAATTAAAAACTGGGAAAAACGACCATTTTCGCCCTCATTTTTCCGAGTGGCAATAGTCTCGCAAGCTGGAGAGGAAAATCTGCTTTTTGCAAAAGTTGTTGCCCCTGCTCTCTTTTAAATCCTACAGTTTATTAATAAGAGAATTCTAAGTTTTACAGTAAAGTAAAAATAACATTGCCAAACATTAAGTACATTATTCCCGATTCCAATTCGTGGGAAGCCATTTTGATTATTCCCATCTTCGTACGACTTTAATCAGCGGAAATATTAATTAAAAACGCTAGTTTTCGCACTTAGTTTTTCGAGTGGCAACAGTCTCGTGCTTTGGAGATAAAAATGGTTTAATTCGAAACATGTTGTTTCTGCTGGCTTTCAAATCGTAGAGTTTGTTAATTAAAAATTTGTAAGTTTTACAAAATCTATACGTATAAAGAAGAATGCCTGTTTGTGTGTTTGTTCACATTATTGATTTCGGATCAATGTTTTGCCACATTTCATTGACTAAATTTGAAGATAGGTGAAATATTGGGTGGAACTTCAGCTTTTCGGATCATTTGACTAGAATGACAAAAGTCGTTAAAAAAACTGCGTGCCATTGTAGTTGATATAATGAGAGAGAATTAGCTTATTTTTTTTATCGAAAATTTTTATGTGGGTTCCATATCGCATCAGCCTGAAAAATGTGTGACTATGAATCATGTTTTTTGCATCTTTATTAGAGAAAGATTACAGCGGTATATTGTTGTTACTCTCTGTTACTCTCTGTGACTCTCTGTTACTCTCAGTTGTTAGATGCATTTCTCTCAATCTAACTTAACTGGCATCGGGTACTTCCGCTAGTATAAAATAACAGTCCGAAACAAAGGTTCAATTAATCACCTTTTAAAGAGATACATAATCTGTACTTGGACGTATACATGTCACTAAACCGGAAATTTGGTCAGTTTATCATAATTTATCATACTTCATGTTACACAACAAGCTGAATTCATCTTTTCTAGATTCATCCCTTTGTGTATTTTTAAATCATTTCTTCTTCATAAAACCTCAGCCAGCTTATAATGTATTTCTACCTCCTGCCTGCATGCCTTCGTTGTACAATTGGAAGCATACTGAACGCGTATTCGAGAGGTTCAGGGTTCGAGTCCCGGCGAGGGCATCGCACATTTTTTACGCATCGTGCTTCAAAATAATCTTACGACTCCACAAGTAGCGCTCGAACTAAAAAGGTGGTGAACGTTCGTTACCAACAGGATTTGGCGATTGGGTCCCCTAATCCCCACTCCGCCCTATAAAAGGGGAACCATATAAAATACATTCTCCCTCCTTTCCGCATGCCTTGGTGGTCTAATTGGAAGCATACTCGACGCGTATTTGAGAGGTCCATATTTCAAGTACCGGCGACAGCGCTGCACATTTTCCACTTCTTCTGCTTTAAAATAACCTAATGATTCTATAAGCTCACCCTCCCTTTTTTCTCACTCCTCTCTTTCATTCATTTTCACTATTTTCTCCTTCCTTTATTGCCAATCAAAACTAACACTTGACGCAACCACACCACACTAGATTGGTAGAAGTAGATCACTGATTAGGTAAAATAAGATAAGAAACACTAGACAGGAGTCAAGCTACTGGAGTCATCTGTTGAGGAAACGAGAACTAAAACATAAGTTCCTTAAGGCTGAAGGTTGATATGGATTGGAATTAGGGTAGTTAACTAGATCAGAAAGATATTTTTGAATGTTATCTTACATTTGTCGAGGAGTATGTCCCACCGGTTTCTCCATGGCAAATTCGCATTAAGCAGAGGAGAAAAAATTCATTCAAGTGCGATGGTCCCAGAAATTCTCCAGGCGCGAAGCAGAACGAAAGCATAAGACGAAATAACTTTTAGAATATAAAACAACTAGTAAACAGCTTATTTTTACTTTCTAATAAAAATTATAGCAATAAAAGACACCAGACATATAAAGGAAAGCTCCTTTTCATAGCTGCTTCCTTTATATCTCAACATCAACGCACTTGTTGCATTACATATTTTATTCAGATTCCTTAATTTTAAAACCACTGACTGTTCGATAATCATATCAAAATGAAGCATGTTACTTTAATTTTTTTCTATATGCATATATGGTTTTAATTCAGCCGGAGTCCAGAATAAATGTGTTCTGTTACTTTAATTTATTATTCAATTACCTGCTTAGTAGCCATTTAAACAGATCATTCCCGCATCGACGGATTGTACGTTGTAGATCAATTCCCTGGCCTCCACGCTCACCATATTTATCGAGCTTTGATTTCTTTTTGTCGGGAGCCATCAAAAGTACCATGTATCATAATCCTATCGTGTCTGAAATGGATCTGGTGGCAAGATCCGCCTGCGCAGCTGCTACAATCAGAGAAACTACCTGTCTGTTTAAACATGTCCAGCAATCAATGATTCGTCGGTGTCACACATGTTTGGCGCCTGATGGTGCAAACTTCGAGCATCTGTTGCAACATTGGAGTTGTCGTACACCATTTGTATTTATGTCCAATAAACGTTTCAAATTAATCACTCTCTTGTTTCCTTTCCCGTCTTCAACCTCTGCTACCACTTACCCCTGACATTTCCGGGCATGGGTTCCTGTGCAATTCTTAATACTTATGATGTGTCCTGCTTCTCCTAGAAGTTTGTCGCAATATTTACGGGACACCCTGTATATACAAGGGGCAAATATTTAACTCAGCTGAGGTAATTCAAAGCAGCGACGTGCGAGTAATCAGCAAAGCGAGTTTTAACAGGTTATCAGCTGTGGTTAGATTACGTTAACATTTCATACCCGCGATTACACAATGAACTGTGACTATTATGTAAATGCCTGGTGCTTATTTGCCAAACATTTACATAATGGGGGATACCCCCATTATATAAACATAATTTATGGGATGGCCATTTTACTTAATTTATGAGAAAAGGAGGACCAGATTTGTTCAAGAACTGATTGTCCAAGACAGTGCCTGGCTGTATTTGGCTGCTGTAGTATTGGCAGGTATCCATTGCTGTCCGAAGTCGATTTGTCAGGACTATCCGAAGTCGATTTGTCAGGACTAAGATACTCTGAAAATAAATAACATGTGATTGTAGGACGTTCTGAACACTGAAACAGAAATTAATCAGGAAGAAGTTTTGCACAAATGAACATGTGAAAAACGCAACGTAGGCAATGCAAAACCGGAAGTCACAAAACGGTGTATTTCATGTTTTGAATAACTTATAAAATGCTGCAAAATGTGTAATTCAATGCGAAGATTTCAAATTTAAAAGCTTTGAGTTGCGAGAAATAAAGTAAGAGGTCCGCAGAATTATGTGACTCAGAATAAGAGAATAACTTTTTAAACGTTTCAATCAAATCACGTCTAAAGAGGAAAATTGTTTGTAAGGAAAATTCTGGTGGGAGAGACCTTTATTTTCTTATATTCTTATAATAAAATTGTGACAATAAAAATACTTACAAATATCATTCAACAGTGGGAAATTCATTAAAAGAACAATAAAACGTTTATAGGAAACAAACAAACAAACAAACAAAAAAAAAACAGTGCACAGATCTGTCATCATTGAAGATCGTCCGAGATCTGCAACAACTGAAATATCAAAGCAAATCAATTGTTACCATTTTTTTTTGTACGTTTAGTTAAATGCAAGAAGCCTTTGTAAAGGATTGATTAATTGCAGTAGGATTAAAATCGTGAAGGCAATATGAGGGAGATAATATGATATTGTACAGAATCAAATTTTGATTTCAGGATTTAATTCTAATTTGCGAAACTCATTTGTATACATTTCATATAATTTTCTTTGTTCATAGTTTCATGTCTGTTCATCTGCTGCCTTTTCACTTTTTAAAGGAGGTTATTGGTTTGTTGGCGTTCGTGGATCAGACGTAAGCTCCTTAGACACAGCAGTGCTTGAAAGTAAAACATACACCATAAGAAACAGAGAGCCTTTAAGTTGCCTAAAGTTCTACTTTTACATGGATGCAGACGGAACGGCTTGGTTTGAACGAAAGGTGGATGAAGCTTATCTCCAGGTCCACATTGCAGATCATCTCTCAAGTAATTGCCCATTTTATTTATTTTATAACGCCCTTGTTGTTACAACAAAGTTTATTTTAGCTTGAAACTGAAGACAAAGAGAAAACTTAAGTTATAGCCAATTAAAAAAAATTATATTCAATTCCCGGTTTTTAATCCAAGTTACTTAAGGTTTCCATAAAAAAATCAAACAGAAAAGAAATGAAGTGAAAAAATTTTCTACTTATGCCCTAACTTAGTACTTAACAGTTTTCTTCATAATTAAAATACAATAACAGGCCGAACAAGTATTAACTTAGAAGTCAGATAACAAAAATAAGCGTTATATTTTCAAATTTTCACAGGACTAGTTTCCATTGCTTTACCGAACTAACATCCTCAGCTGCAAAACCGCAAATGAACGAGATAGGATACAGTGATTAGGTAAAATAAGATAAGAAACACTAGACAGGAGTCAAGCTACTGGAGCCATCTGTTGAGGAAACGAGAACTAAAACATAAGTTCCTTAAGGCTGAAGGCTGATATGGATTGGAATTAGGGTCGTTAACTAGATCAGAAAGATATTTTTGAATGTGAAATGCCTCTAGAAAATCTAATTCACCAATGGAAGATGCTTTTGAATAATTTTGGCCGCAGAAAAACTGAAAGTGGGATATTCGGACCAACAATGCTGGGCAACAGAACTCTTCATTGTTTCCTTTTTTCTAACATATGCCTCAGTCTTCTGTTCAATAAGCGAAATTTTAAGGCTCTCTTAGTTTGACCAATGTAGATTAAACCACACTGGCAAGGATCCCTGTAAATACCGCAGGAATTCATATCCGGAATGGGGTCCTTGAGTATGGAACTCGGAATTTTATTTATGGGAAAATAAACGACCCGAAAGTTCAATTTCTGTAAAATACGTGCAACTTTATAGCTTATTGATGGAAAAAAGGGAATATCAATAGAATTCTTATAATCTCCTGAAACAAGAGTGTGCCTTTTGGTGTGCTGAGATGAGAATTTTTTAACTGCTTGATTAATAATTTTTTAACTGCTTCTGTTGCCCAGCAACAATGGACCAACAATGGTCCGTAAATCGTACTTTCAATGTTTCTGCAGCCAAAATTATTCAAAAACATTGGTGAATTAGATTTTCTATAGGTATTTTACATTCAAAAAAATCTTTCTGTTCTATTTAACGGCCCTAATTCCAATCCATCTTAGCCTTCAGCCTTTAAAGAAATTATGTTTTAATTCTTGTTTCATCAACAGATGGCGCCAATAGCTTAACTCCTATCTAGTCTTTCTTATCTTATCTTATATAATCACTATATCTTATCTCGTTCATTTGCGCTTTTGCAGCTGAGGATGTTGGTTCGGTAAAACAATGGAAACTAGTCATAAGAAAATTTGAAAATATAAACCCTGAGTTTTGTTGTTTGACTTCTAATTAATAGTTTTCTCCATGCTGATAAAAAAATCAATGCAGGCTGTGCTTCATCACAATACTCGAAATAGTAATATAAATACCCAGATATGTATATTAGGCTCCAATTTTACTCTTTTATGTATTTAAGACTTTTCCGAAAATATTTTAAATTAAGTTTCGTTTGTTTTTATTTTAAACAGGTTTTATTTGTTTCATTTTAAACAGGTTTGTTCGTTTGTTTTTAATTTAAACAGGTCTACAGTTTACGTCCTACCTTTATGAAACTTGTCACAGTCAAACAAAATGAAGGTCGCTGTCTCAGATCTCATAAAGACAAGACTACGGGATCCACATTCTTTATATGCATATATTTTACGCTAATCTACCAAATGTTTGATTAAAAGATTTAAAATGCTTTGTGTTGTAACACTGCAAAGCATAAGATATGTATGTTTCAAATTTAATCAGAAAATTCAGCGGCATAACAAAAATTCAATTGCTACTCGATAAGATGGGCTACTCGGGAATATACTAATTTGTCTCGAATTCAGCAAACAAACTCGACAGTTCAAGAGAAATACTTTGCTAGTGTACAAATTAAAATATTTTGAGGTGTGTTATCTTTCAGTAAAGAGTAAAATATTTAATTTTTCCCACCTCATCACATACTAAGATACATTATTGCATTACATACATTTGCTTTGCTTTTTGAATGTGAAATTGTGATAGTCATCATAAAGCTGTGAAATCAGTTATGCCACCAAAACGAAAGAGAATTGCTGGTTCTACACCTCAAGTATGAAAGAAAAAGGCATCACGAGCATCAGAAACAAACGAGAAACGGGAAGCATTACTGGAAAACGTTCGAGTGTGCACTTCTCAAGCCCATATGAAACAAAGTACTCAGGGCCGTATGAAAACTCAAGGCACGTTTCTCTCGTATGAAACAAACGAACAACGGAAGCAAGACTGGGAAAAATTCCAGTGCGAACCGCTGAAACCCGTTCGTCTGAAACAGACGAGCAACAGGATTCAAGACTGGAAAAAGTTCCGGTAAGCACTGCTCAAGCCCGTTCGTCTGAAACAGACGAGCATCGGGAAGCAAAAATGGAAAATGTTCGAATAAGCATTACCCAAGCCTGTTCGTCTGAAACCGACAAGAAACGGGAAGCAAGACTGGCCTGCTCATGCGTCGAAAGTATTTAGATTTATTTATGGATCAAATGGAGAAACAAAAATGTAAAAGCTTAGAATACGTAAACAAATTGCGAAGGTAGAGCTAAGTAGCGTCAATAAATGGGTGAGATTTAAGCTTGAGACATCACAATATATTCTCTCATTTACACTAAACATGGGCAATATCACTCCTGTAAGGGATCAGATCGGAACTGTTCGCTCGCTGAAGTGAATCAGCTCTTTTTACAATTAACCGATCACTAACAATGACCTTGATGAATGCGTTCGGAACAGGCATGGATCAAGATCAGCATGCAAAAGCGTGAGAAAAGCAGAACGAATTGAACAAGGAGTGGGATCGCTGGAATCAACTCACACAAACCGCTAACTCCATGGACTGATTTCTTTCAACTGTAATTTTGAAATTCCTTAAAAAAACTTTTCTACATAGAACAATAAAATTCGGGAACAGAAAAATACTAAAAATTAAATAACATTGAAAATTAAACTCACTTTTATTAAAAAATGCATTATTTTATTACTATAATTCATATTTTGTTGCTACTATAAAGAACAGTGTAAAAATACATTTTTAGATCGGAGGCATATACCAAAAGACAGAAAATTGTCTGCAGACAATACTGGCAGTTTCCTTTCTTTTTATTTAATTTGACAAAATGATAGCAAATATCGCTCGAGGTTCTTCTATTCATTAGGATCCGCATTTTATTCTGCAACCTTGAAAATATACATTAAATGAAAAAATATGTTTATATATATGTGTCTGCTAAATCTAACGAAGAGTAAAGAGAAATTCACAGCCATGATCAGAAGAGGTTAGTAAAATAAGTAAATAAATAAAAATGTAATATATTATTTTACATAAATATTATAGTAATATTGCATAAAATAGTAATATCTAATATACGTAGAAGCCAGATTTGCAGATAGCGAGGAAAAGAGGAAATGAAAAAGATTTTGCCTAAATAAGATCGGCAGCTAGAGCTAGAGGCAGGAGTTATTAAAAGGGCGAATAATCGCGACTCCGAAGGACCCAGATTTTCGACTAGTGCTAGAGCACTAACAGCTAGGAGTTCCTATAATCTACGTGCTTTAAACAGTTCCTCACACTGCCAAATGGGGAAAAATCTTCATCCATTTGCAAATAGGGAGTGTTCATTTTTTCTGAGATGCATCGGTTTATTTAATGTTTTGTTTTTTACATACTAGGTGGATCACAAGCAAACCAAAAGCCGATATATATACATAAATAACACACATAGCCACAAAAAATGTGTCCGAGACGTTTCTAGAAAATAATAAAGGAAAGACTGCTTGTATTTACATTAAGAGGAATCCAATTTTTGGCAGGCTTCCCAACAACAGCTCTCGGTGAACTATTAACTGCCATTCCGTTTTCGCAAGAGCATTGATCATTCGTTCAGTAAAGTGAATCGGTTCCGGAGGCGATCGTCCATCTCTAATTTACACTATCTGTATTTATTATTTTACCTGAAAATAACAATAATCTGTTGTTTATTATTGCAAATTGATATTAAATCCTTTATTTTTAATTTACATTTAGAACTGCTAAGCCTTGGTTTTTAGAAAATAAGTATAAAAAGCTGTTTATTTTAAATTAATATGATAGAATAATACAGCCCTAATATTTATTAAAACATATTAAACGCCTTAATATTTATTAAACGTACAATTATTCAACAAGATCATTATAAATAAGATTTTTTATTTAAATTTAGAGTTATATCATAGAACCATTTAATTCTAACGTTTTCACAAATGATTTTATTATGCTTTATATATCATATAAGCAGACAATATTCATTACAATATAAAAAGATTTAAGAAATAAACGTATTATAGAAAAAAGAGAAATAATTGTTTGCAGCAGACGAACACTGTACATAACTTTCATTTTACTATTTCTTAGGTTCTCAAATAACATTATAATGTCTTTAGGCATATTAGTATTCCATACATCAGTAACTTGTAGATATCTAATTTCTTATAATAAGGAAAATTAGATTAGATAATTAAAAATATTATAATAACACGCAAAGTTTCACGTGAAAAACATAAAATTAAGTGCAATTACAACAGCAAACACCCAGCAATTTTTTTAAGACATAGCACTTGCTATTGAAATTGTATTCGGTATGTAACTTTTGCATTATTATTTTAGTAATGAAAAAGTTACTTATCGAATGCAAGTTTGCGAGTTTCGGAACTCAACTTTTGACTTAAAGATCGTCAAACTATCAATATTTACCGTAAGTCGAAAAACATTATCAACAATCAAAAAGAATTAACGAGAAATCTAATTTTAAACACAAAAAATTTATGATTAAAAGTGCAGTTTACAGTTAATATAATAGTAGAAATAAAAAATACAAAAGTGATACATTGAACATAATATACGATATAATACTGTTGTCATTCCCATGTAGACAAGGCTCTATTTTCCTTTAAAAACATCATAGAATTGCACAAACCTCTAATCGAACTCAACCTCGGTATTGTGGACAGTCTCGGTACTAAGTTCCAGCAATGATAACGATCCCGCTTTATAACACTTGCAGCTTCAACGAACACTCCAGTGCATGCAAATAAATGAGGTTTCCGTTTTTAATCTTAAAAATAGATCAGAAACACAGAACAAATAACTCAAAAATACCCCACATTGATTTGAGTTATAAAATAAAGTAACATTTCCAGAAAAATGGCACAAGGAGTAAAATAAAGCTACCATAATAATGTCATTACCTAATAACGTTAAAGTATATTTAAACATGTCAAAGTATATTTTAAAAAGTGAAAGCGAATAATAATAATAATGCATAATTCACTTAATTCTAGTAACAATGAGTGGTGTTGTCATTAGGAGATCGCGCTTTGAGATGCAGTTGTTCCAAAGAGACAGTTCAACTTTAGTTAGTAATTCCAAATAAATCGTATTATTTTTTGCTGTACTATTTGTTTTCTTTTTTTAGTTCTAGAAACACTTTTTCAGGTTATGCGTATAGCAAGCTCCCATACTGCGTCAATTGTTTTGAATTGATAAAATAAATTGAAACTTATTAAGCCTAATCTAGTGTTTCGTTTTCGTCCTAGCTATTGAAAGCGGTTTAAAATTCAAATTAAGAAATTATCTAAAATCAAATTAAAGGCTTTAGCAGGCGAAAGCAACTGGCTTGTAAGTAAATGTAAGATAAAATTTATTTAAAATTACCATCCTGGTGCTTTGGAAGTTTTAGAAGGAACTTTAGCGAAACCAGAAAATCTTCCAGTAGATATTTCAGTTGCTTAACAAGAGAAATATGATGCTGTTAAGAAGTTTCAAAATGCAAATGAAAGAAGTTTTATTTCTAAATGCACTTTTTCAGTCTCCTTCGGCCTCGAGACAGCTAAACGCTTTCCAGAAGGTGAAAATCATAAATGATTCGGACAAAACATTTGCTTTAATTATTTCTAAAAATGAATTGCCATCTGAATCTTCAACTAATCGGTGACATTCTTTTTATTTATTCTTGACCCATATCATAAAACTTCATTCCTGAGGTTATTCAACTGCATATACGTAAGTCGAAAAACCACAGATGCTCAATTTACTCTTCGCAAAACAAAAGTCCTTTCGAGCAGATCTTGCAATTCGATGTTTACATTCGCCTCGAGAATAATTTTCCTACCTCATACGTTTTACAACCTGATTGTAACCGCAGATGTGAATTAATAATAAATATCATCAGTTTTGTGACTTAAAGGTATCGAAACTTTCGTATATACGGTACTTGAGCAGATTTTACCAAAAAGGTGATAACTTGAAATGTTTATAATCGACAAAGAAGAGTTTCATGTCGGGATGTTAAATAAACTTACGCGAACATGATACATATAAACTTCAACAAAGGACCACGAAATTAGTTTAAAATATGGTATTTAAATTTGGAGCACATATGACACACGACACGTAGAACGGTTACCTCTGGTGGAGGATGAACATGTTTTGCAGCAGGCGCCAGTGTTGGTTAATCGCAAGTACTTGCTGTATTGCCATGATAATGTGAGAACACACGTAGTGTGGGTGACCAAGGAGACAATTCAGAGACTTGTCTAGGAAATACTGTGCTCGCCGGACGTCCCAAAACTAACCATCAATTCTGTTACCAGGATAACTAACTCCTTTGAAAAACCTTCGTGAATGAGGAGGACCTGAGACATCCAGGAATGAATTTCTCAGATCCCCGAGTTTCATCCTCGGGCATCGCCTAGCTCCAGATATGTTGACAGAATGTCCTGTGTGCTGGTGGAGATTACTTCAAGACCTATGTACCAGGTGTACTGAGTATACCAAGTACCATGTGTAAGACCAAAGACCCCAGTACAATGTCCTGTATACCTATCTGTTTCTGACGATCATGACCGCAAAAACGATTTTAATTATCTTGAATTTAAAAAATAGCGACTACTTTATGAAATTAATTATTCTTGTTCTTAAATTAGGAACATTGTTGGTGACAAAGGCAAAGAATACTACGAGGCATAGAATATGGAGCTATGTGGAAGTCGAAGTGGAAAACAGGGAAAGTTTCAAGGTAAATAATTTCAAAATTGTTCACATTTTATATTGTGAAAATCATTATATTCATTTCTATATTATACAAAATAGGATATATTGCCCAAAGTAAACAGTGAAGTTTTACTTATTAATTTTCGCAATGTTTTGAGGACCAATCATTCAATTTTTGTTTATTAATGTCCTCAGTAAAGTTTGTATTTTAGCTTCTTAATGTATTTTTATGACAGTGTTTTTCTGTCAATTCTAGCTTGCATTTACAATATTTTTCTCTGTTACGGGTTTTATTTTCACTCATTTAACTAAAGTATTAATTATTTCATCTTTCTTTTTTTTCCTGTTTGGATTGTATTCTTAAATTTTAAGCATTCTCATTTCCACTCTATCGGTGTTGGGCTACCAATATTCAATTTACTTTCTTATTCTTCTTAATTAATTACGTTTCTAAATATTATTTAATTTCCTGAATTACAAAATACCTCAGGAAGAGGTTAATTTTTTTTTGCATTTCTCGAGACACCAGCATATTGTTGAAGGTGTCCCAATATTATTTAACTTTCTGAGTTAGGAAAAACCTCAGTTGCAAGCTTAATTTTTTGCATTTCTCGAGACACCAACTCCCTTGTAAAGATGTCTCGGGAAATGTAAAGCGTTAATGTCCCCCCCCTTTTTCTCTATTTTTGGAGTGAAGTTTTCAGTTTTTTATTGTGTTGGATCAAAACTTTTGTTTTACTTTGGAGTGAATACCTAAATTTGGTTTTGAAAATTACTTTTAATTTTGTAATTTCTTTTGTAATTTTTCCATAGAATTATTTAGTTTCATGAAGAAAATTTCGCATTTCTCAGTGACAGTGGTTATTTTATACCACTTTGAACAATTTTTTGCTTCCATTTTGTTACACCTGAATATGAGTTTTGAATTAAGTTTTAATTTTAAACAGAAAACCAAATAGACTAACAAATGATCTATGCCATAGCCTTTGCCATATTCGTGACAAATACAGTGAAACATTGGACGACACTCTATGCAGGACCTTAATAATATCTATGTTCAGTTGCACTTCCTATCACATGACAATAACAATAATAAAATGTATACGTGATGGCATGTCTTCAAAGATGGTGCTTCTGCTTTTGGCAATATTCGTAGTCTCGCAAATCTCTCAGAGGGAATTCAGTGATATATGTCAGCCACACCGCGCCACTCCGGGATCCCAGAGGCAGGGTTTAAAAATTTGCCTCTGCCAGGAGGTTAACTTGTTAGTTGAGCTTATAGTAATTATTACTAACTATTTACAAATTATGTACCTACATGTGGTAAATCGCATTTTTCTTCGTCTTTGCCAAGTTCCAGTCTATTACATTATGCTTCTACTTCTATGATGAAGTGTTTACTGTTTACTTCAGCCTCGATAGCTCTAATTCTCTTGGCACTGTAGTAATCTGCGTAGAGCGATATAGTGAATGAGTATGGTTTTTCGGTAGAATCTGTTTGCTTCATAGTTCTGAAGTCCTGTGACAGTCTAGTGTACAATGAAGGGTATCAGGTTTCCCCCTCTGGTACTGCAGTCAAAATGTACATTGTTTTAAATTTACAAATTTACAACCTTTGACCCAACACTGGCCTCACCTCCAAAGACGAGATGCACTCCTTATGCTGACGTCACATGCTCTACGTCACTAAGCTGTATGCATGGACCTTATAAGAAATAGATTAACCCAAATGGCTTTTCTCCCTCTTCTGACGCATTCCCGGCTGTCACCTTGATCACATCCGGAGGAGTAGGGACGACTTGCAGAAACTTACAATGGTTGGCTATTGCAGTTGGTAAAATTGTCAAGAAAAAGTTGGTTGTAGCGCAGCACATTTCACAAAAAATAAGAATTTTAGATATTTTTATTTTTGAAACTGAGATATATGTGTAAAAAATTAGCAATTATCAAGCATAATTAAATTCAAAATTTTAAAGCTGTTGCATGCTTTCAGGCCAGGCTATTTTTTTAGCTTTTCTATGCTGTAAGGAAATTTGTAACATTTCTTTTAGAAAATAATATTTTAAATCTGAACTAATAGAAAATTCAAACAAAGAATTTCTCTTATAATTTTACGCTTTTTATTGGTGTAAATAAGCAAAAAATACTAAAATACTAAAAATGAATTTTTTAAAGTTTTTGCTTAAAATTTTAAGTTGTGCTTGCTTTTTTAAGATACAGGCGAATATTATAGCATATTTTTATAAAGGAGTTTTTATTTCAATTATATTCCAATACATCATAGTGTAAACACTTTTACCACCTTAATAATTTTTATACATTTATTCTAATGTCAAAATGTAAACTGTAATAATGATTGTGCTAACATTTTATAGTGATTATTTTTTTAATTTAAATCTAATTCTGATAAGATTTTTTTTTTACTGTGAATTTATTTATTAGCCAAAGGGGTGGTAGTCAGAAAGGCTATTAGTTTCGAAACGGCATTTTGCTCTGTTTCATTATAAACGTCCGTTTCCTTTGCAATGTTGCCACCAAATATTATCGCTTGTATTATATTTAAAGAAATTTAATAATAAATAGTCTGCATGAATACATGTATGTTTCTTGCATTGTGAAAAACGACGGGTATTAGAGCCATAAAAATTTGAACAACAAAATCCTCCCCCGAACAGCCGAATTTCGAATTTGTTTAATCATTTCATATTTGTAAAACTTTAATGAATGTTGATTAAGAACTCAACGAGTTCATAGCGAGCAATGGCAACACTGTACGGAAAATAACATTTTTATCTCCAACGTGGAAATTCTAAAGATATGCTGTTTTCAAATACACTGGTGTGCAAAAATTAAGGACGAGACGGTTTTTTTCAATATAACTTTGTGCAAAAGCTTTCCAAATCAACACATTTAATATCGTAAGATCCCCAATACGTAAGGACATGAGTAATGTAAGCAACACTTACTAAAAGAGAAATCAGAGGGATAAAAAGAAGTTTTATTGAAAAAGTAGCATGGAGCGCAATGCGACTGAAGGCCGAAACATCCCTGTGATGGGTGTCCAGCAAGAAACATCCGGTCTTTAATAGGTGATATGATCTCCCCTGACTGCTAGGCAGGTTTCACAGCGTCTGCCCATGCTTGAGAATGAGGGTGTCAATGAGTTGTTGAGGCATTGCTGCCCATTCGTCTTGCAGCGCCAATCGAAGCTCCGAAATCGTTACTGGTGGTAAGGTACGAGCTCCAAGCGTCTCCTAGAAAATCCCATACATGCTCGATGGGATTGATATCCGGAGATCGTGCCGGCCATCCATACGTTCAATATCCTCACTCTCTAAGAGCTGTTCGGCAGCTACTGTGTGATGACATGGTGCATTGTCGTCCAAAGAAAAGGAACTACTGACCCATAGCGCCTCTAAAAGACGCACGTATGGAAGAAGAATCTCGTTACAATAACAGGTCCGTTGACTGAACCTGCGTCGAAGATGTGTGAAGGTCTATACTACTACCAGCACGATGCCTCCCCAAACGAGAACACCGCCACCTCATACCTGTCCTTTCAATGATGTTCGAGGGATGATGGCGGCTTCCCCGCTCTCTCCAGATGAGTATGCAATGAGAATCGCTACTCAGACTGAATCTGCTCTCATCTGTAAAGAGTACTCATCCCCATTCATTGTCTCACCAATTCCGGTGTTCCCGGCACCAAGAGAACGCCTTCTCCGATGGGCAGGCGTTAGAGGTACACCACCGTACAGGGCGTCGTGCAAACAGACCACCACCGTGCAGTCTTCTGGCCACGGTAAAAACGCGATATCGGTCGTCCAGTCGCCTGTGTCGTGTTGTCTAGCGATTTCTCCGCGTCTGCCGCCTGTTTCTTCTGGCCGTAAGGCAATATACCGGTCATCTGCGGGTGTGGTTCCTCGTGTACGACCACTACTAAACCCCCGGATAGCTGTTCCTGTAGTTTGAAATTGTCCCCAAGTCTTGAAACGATGCTGTGGGCAATTCCGAACTCTGCAGCCACATTGTCACACTACGGCCTTCCTCCAACTTCCCATGATTCGACCCTCGGGTAAAAGCATCCAGATGTCGTCTACAGATTGGTTATTCGCCATTTCTCGCTGAGGCAGCAACTCGGTTGTGATTTTTAACTGCTAACGGCGTGCAATCTCTTTGCCAGAAATACTGATCTTACACGGACAACATGCTTTATACTACTGAACACTTCCTCATACGTCCTACTGCATATCTGCGCATGTGCTACCGTACATCACCTTACTTAATCTCCTGATTGGTCTTTCTGTCCGCTCTGCCTCTTCGTTCAGTTTGATATGCTAATTTTCGACTTAGTCCTTAATTTTGCACACCAGTGTATTTTGTGATACACTGCTTTTGAATGATTTTGTGTTTGTTTACGTGGGGGAAGAACTGAAATTCATAAATAGAGTAACACACAAAGCGTTAAAAAACGTCCTTTTGACGTAACATAAATCTGAGCGCTTCCAGATTTTATTATTTATTTATTTTATTACACTGAGATAAGTTTACGCTCCGAATTATGAATTATAAAAATAAATAATCATCATAGATTAATAATAATAATCATATGATCAATAAATTATCGTCTGTAATGTTATAATAATTTATAAAACTGCCTGAAAAATGCTCATAAATTTTAAAAATATATATTCAGATCTTGTTTACTTTTGCTTATTTTTTCAAAGCTTCATGTACTATCAATTTATTTAATTTTACGTTATTCGTACGCAAAATTAAGTTCATAATTTTGTGCTTAGAGTTTTACCGTTTTACCAAAGTAAAGATGTTTGTACACAAATTACGCGTGAAAAAAATGCGCGAAAGGCAGTAAAAGGTGCTTTAATGACATATGTTAAATCCTATTTGGAAAAAAACTGTGGTTTTCGTAATCTCATCACTATACAACGTATTACATTTAATAATTAAAAAGAGTTATGTGATACAAACGCCATAGGTTTCTGTGTTAAAGTAAACCAGATCGGCTCTACTCTTTCTTGCCGACATGTCGGTGACGCGCGCCCCGCTTACTGGGTTAGTCTATGTCTTATAAGGTCCATGGCTGTATGGCTTTGCTCTCAAAGGCCACGCTTTAACTCAATTTAATGTAGTGGGGTGGATGGTCTATATCGTTGCTAACACTTCTCGTAGTGCATTTATATGCGATAGTTTTGAGTTCCTTTTGTTAATTCTTTAAAGCATACACATGTTCGAATAGAAATTAGTCTTCTTTGCGATGTTTACCCCTGTACATAAGCCTTGCGAAAGGCATAGATCTTCTCTTGGAAAACAGTAGTATGATTGCATAGTCGAAAATTTCAGCGGTGTGTTTACGTACAATGTCGTCTGCCTCTACGCGGAAAGATTTTTTGACTTCAAATCGTCAGTAAAAGATTCTCTATGTCTTCTTTGTAAAGGGAGCTTGGACCAGTGTACGACCGTCTTTTGCGCCAGGTGTCGGCGTGTTAGCTTGTCAAGTTTTGTGCAGTTTCTCTATGATGTATTATATTTTTTTTGCACTTTGCGTTCCTTCACAGTGAAAGACCATGTAGATTGTACGTTCTATCAGCGAGTTTATGCATTGCCTCTGCGAACCCCTTCCGTGCTACTGGTGATTTGTTCTGAAAGCTTACGCGATATTAGGGCAGAGCTATTCTCTTGATTTGTTGCATGTTATTGTCCTGTTCATCTACATTTGGCTGCGGTATAGAATCATTAGGCTTGTGGCTCTTAAGTAAAATTCTTTAACAGGTCCTCCTTTTAGATTCCTTGTGCAATTAATTTTGCTGTTCAGTTTAATTTTTACTTTGTTTGTTTTTTTGCTGACTAGTTAATTTCTTATCCAGTACAATGCCCAGATAGGTCATAGCATCTTATATTCTTAAGACGACCCCCTACCATTTTTGAACAGGCGATTAAAGGCTGGTTTTTGCCTTTCAGAATACGATCGCCGCAGAATTTCTGCGTTAATTTTAAGATTGTATGTTACACGTTAGGTTATTTAGTGTGCTTCCTGCTTTCTTTTTTGTTATAGTTCAATTTGCTCCTCTGATTATTAAATTAAAATCGTCGGTATATATTTATATGTAAGTCTGTATGTCAGGGTATGCTTGCATTTATTTTGCTTTCTTCAAAGTTCATCTTTCAGCTGTGTCAGCCATTTTGTCTCAGATTATAGTTATATGTTAGAACCTTGTGGGTTCTTTTGTGCTATTCTGATATGACATTAACTTCATTGAGTAATTATTTTATGTACGAATTCTCCTCATGCCGATAATAAGCACATGGGCTTGTACCTATCTGTCCTGCTTTTATCTTTACCGTCTTTTGAATCAGAACCAACTCTGCACCCTTTCGCAAGTTTGGGAATCTCGAGGCATTTATTTAGAGTCTCAATCAAGAAGTTTTCTTTCGCGAATAGTAGTTATATTACTTCTGTGGTGAGATTGTCTGGTCCCGGATCTTTTCTACATTTTGCTGATACTATGATTCTTCTAATTTCCGAGTTTGAAAAGGAGATGTTGTTCTCTATCTCAGATGTTCGTGAGGTTCCTCGTATTTCTACCTGTTGTTCTATGTCTTTTTGCCCATCATCTTGGGAAACGCTATAATTAATAATATCGGTTACTAACTTGTTTTTGTGCTACCACATTTTTCAATTGTGCTTAGTTATAAGGAGTCTCAAATATTTCCTCTTACTAGATGGAAGTGAGCTCCAAAACGAGTTTATTCTCATTGTGTCCCATAAAGCGTTGCAGCACGCCCTTTCCTCTTTGAAGATTTTTTTAAATACTTTACTGCTTTTATTTTATTATATTAACGTATTTTGCTTCCTTGCTTTTCCTTTTGTTCTTTGGTACCTTTTCTTAACAATTCTTATTGTTTTCCCCATTTGCGTTATTCTTGCGTCCAAAGTGAACCGCTTTTGCGTCCCTGGGGTTTCTTTCGCGCTTTTGCGAGTTTCTTCATAAATTTCATACATAACAGTTGTAAGTATAATTAAGGGAAAATCCATTTCTTCCCTTTTGTTACTCTAATGGGATTCGTATATTTTCTACGCAATAGTTTGAAACTCAGCTATTCTGTTGGCTCGATATTAGACTGACTTTTCCTTCATTGATTTCGAATACATTCGGATTAGAATATGACAGATTGTAATATTATGATCGCTCAGGTTTCCTCGTTTGTGGCTTGCAAGTTTTGAATGTCTGGTGTACCTGTACTCCAAAAAAAAAAAAAAAAAGTCAAGTCGAGCCAAGAGTTTTCTCTGATCTGGGGAAAGTTGGATTGTCGCAGATCTCGTCCATCACTGAGAACCCTGTTGTCACTAAAATTTTGGAGACTTTTACACTTCAGGAGTCGACGTTGTTTGAGCTCCATGCTGAGCTTTTGATGGTAAAATTGATGCTGATTATCGAGGAAGTGTCCGAGTTATCCTTTGTGGCGTTTTCTAAAATTGTGAATATTGGATCAATGTCCTTAGATGGTCGACAGTACGTTAATAGTAGTAAGAAGGTTTCCGTTTGTCCTACTTTTTGAGTAAGACAAACGGAAACCTTTGAAGTTTTTGAGTATAAAATCAAACGCCGAAAAATGCTGCATCGGAAATTATTATCTCTTTGAGTAATAGTATTTGCACGGAAACCGCGTAGTTGTTTTTAAGGTTCTTAAATGCATCCTGTTTTGATATTACCAATTTCCTTTTAGTTGCGCATTTCATGTTTTTCACTGTACTCCTAGAGTGCTGAGTATTGATTTAAATTAATGAGATTTTTTCCATAACTGATGCATTGTGCAAATAGGTTCATCTCCTTGGTAGCCTGGACATTTATAACTCCTCGTGTCATGACAGAGCTTGTATTTTGCATTAAATATTTGGCTTGGTTTTTTTGTAGTTTACGTGCCTTTTAATGTCCTCGTTACGTTCTGTGTGCTCTTTCTTTATCTGAACCACACCTTACACATATTTTGGTATCTTTACAATATCTAGATTTTTGATAGTAGCGCAAACAGTATAATAGACTCGTACATCTTTAAAATGTACTCAAATTTCTATTCCAAAGTAAATTCACTTTTCATTGACCCTTTTCCATTAGCTTTCTGAATGTTACTGCGTCAACTAAACCAGAGCTCTCCGTACTTAGCTCTCATTGCGAAAAGAACCTCGACAACTGTATCTGCGAATTTCATAGTTTGGGTTTAAACTAGGTTCTTTACTTCATCTTTGTCAATGTATTTATTCATGTAATTTGTATTGTGTTCCGATTCTCTGAATATTTCGCTTCCATAACGTCTTTTAATATACACTCTCTTGCAAAAAAAAAAATCGAAGCACCAAGAAGGACTTTTGCGACCGTTACGAAATTTGGTATATCTTGATCTTGCGTAGAAAAGTAAGGAACACAAAGCAACAAGAAAAGAAAACACCTGTTGTTAGAGATAGCAAATCAACGCATACAAATGTTTCTAATTGAAAATAGAGGAATGTGATTTCGGAAAAGGTAGTGATATAAATTGTAGACATGCTAATAAATCGATCAACTCTAAAAGAAATTTTGGGATACTATTATCCTTTTATATGAAATTATGTTTATTTCCTATTAAATATTGCATCCATTTATATTACGCCTTTTAAACACATCATTTATATTATAAATATTGTTATGTGCATAGCTAAAACATATTTGTGAAAACAAAAACGGTTCTAAAGTCTATGAGCGTCTATTGACTTTGAATGATGATCAGGTTGCATAAATTTACGAATGTTAGGGGGGAAAACATTTAATAGAGTTTGGGGGTATTTAATTTTGAATTCAACAGTTAAAAATACTTTGTTTCTCTGCATGCTCTTCCGTATCACCAGTGGTACATGTATCACTGGTTGCGAATCGCTGATCTAAGCCTTTTTCACAGTCACTCTGTTCAGTTAATGAGGTTGCAATGAGGATTTCTTCTATTTCTTCGTCATGTGCAATTTCACATTCTTTGAAATCCTATCTTTGAAATCCTAGAAGTCAGATCTTTTGGTATATTTAATATCATCTTGCTTTTTAAATCTGTTTATTTCAAATACCTCGCTGTATTTTGAAGCATGTTCCTGCCTTGTATAATGCAGCCTTCTATAATGTGTCTTTCTTGTATAATATATATATCGTCCAATTTCTCTTAATAAGTCCTCCACAGAAGCATCCCGCCACATAGGCAGGTAATCCTAACTGGTTCTTCACAGTCAAACCTAATCTATCTAAGCATAAAATTACCAGTAAGATAGTATCTTAACTATAATGGTTTTACTAGCACTTCGTATAATATCATGGTTGCTTACATTATATGCGTAGCATTTTATTTATGAGTTTTGGATATAATAATATAGAACAACAAATGTACTGATATCTACATGCAATAGTTACTGCTGCTGAATTTTACTCAAAACATGATAGTGTATACCATAATTACGCATATTTGCTATGAAAATTCTATGTTCAGATTTGCTATGAAAATGTCACACATATTGAATATTCATGCTGATTAACATTTTCGTCTACAGATTACATTTACTGCCGGTCTAAAAAGCAGTGTTGAAGCGCTTATTGCAATAGATGACGTCAGATTTGATGTGGGAACTTGCCCTGAAACAGGTATACCAAATTCAATGTTTTACACTAGAATCTAAAAGCTGTGTCCTCTTCATTGGTTGGATTCTGTAACTTGTAACAGATATATTTTGTTGAAAGTATTATATTCAAGTAACAAACTGTTCTAAGATAAAAATATCTGGTCTTCTTTCTTATATTTTATAAAGCATCGATATCATCATACATATAATTCAGTTGAATTTGGTTGTCTCACTGATGGTTGATTCACTGGTGATAAAGCTTTCTAAACTTGCCACCTTGAATTTTGTTATGAATTTTATGAATCTGTTATGTATTATTTTTGTTGTGTACAATTATTACTCATATTTTACTGTGAGTAAGGAATTCTTATTGTTTATATTATTTTGCTGTGAATAGGAAATTTGTAATATTCTTATCGGAGAATTAATTTTTATTATTTAATATTTTTTAAACCTTTTCGTTCGATTACGGCCAAGCTCATTTAAGTTTAGCTTTGATACAGCTAAAAGGCGTGTGCTTTCTTCCCTTCTCACGAAGCAGTCGCTTTGCGACCAGCTGCGTTTCCTTCCCCCAGAATTCCAGTTTATCATTCGCAGGGGTTGACCACGTGTTTCGGGTTTGGAGGCGAGAAAGTACTTCGGCCTTTCTGAAGAGAGTTGTTACGTAGAAAATTATACTAAAATTACCCTTTACTTTTAAAAGGGTTGATTTATTCAACAAACTTTCTCGTGCCGTGACAAAAAAAAAAAAAAAAAAAATTACTACTAACTCTGAATAATCAATACTTATCATAATTCGTTAACGATTTGGTGATTACAACACTACCTTAAGTTAAACGAAATTCACTTAAATCATCAACTCAGAAAAATAAAGTTTATCTGATCAACTCTCAACTCTTTAAATCCAAGAATGAAAAGAAAATATCTTCCCTGGTGTTTTGGTCGAATCAAAGGGGTACTTTTCCGTTTTGCCGGCGCAAGCGATAAAGTCGCCAGTAATGGTACAACTGATGCCAAACGAAATATCCTCGCTGGTAACCTTTAACTTTTACTTTTTCAAAACAAGTCGCAGCCATTTCTTCTCAGATTGATTGTTTCTTTCAATACTGGCATACAATTACATAAAATTTTTACCAAATAGTTGAGTTTAAAGGCCCTAAGGCCATTCGCGGGCGGTAATTAAGTCAATTAGGATGCAATCGCACTACTCATCCGATCAATTAGGATGCAAAGTCAAGAGTTAAATTAGAATGCACTAGCGAAGTAAAGTACTGCAGTTTTACAAAATTTCTGAGTAAGCTATTCGTACGAATTGTAATAATTCTGGCATTTAAACTTGTATTCCAAAATTAAGATTTAACTTGATTAAATATTAACTTTGTAAGGTACTTTTCCGTTTCGCTGGCGCAAATCTCGCCAAGCAGACTTTATTGGCGAAAACACATAGTATACACATAATAAATGTTGACAAATGTTAGTTCTAAGAATTTTTTATTCTAAAGGTATAAACATTTTAATGTCGGGTAAAATTTTGTAAAAAAGCCAATAAACAAAGACAATAAAATTTGTAAAAAGACATTACTTTAAGAATTTACTATCCTTTCATTGTACAACATCCTGATTCGCCGGTTCGTATCACGTGACCACAAGTGATCTCATCTCGCGTTAACTACGCTACAAAAATGTAATTCTCTCAGTGCGCCGGCGAAACGGAAAAGTACCATCAAAGATTATTTAACAAAACAAAATGTGAAAATGCATGTCCGTACAAATTCACCAAAGCGCTGTCTATCTCTAAAATAAAACTATTTCAGCTCTCCAACCTGTAAACACAAAATTTTCAACACAAGGCTAGTGATTGCCCTAAAACATTTTACTTTTAAAATATCCCATAGAACTCTTCAAACACCAGGAAAAGATAATTCTCACACTAATCACCAATTCAACTAAATTTAAGTAAACCGATCGTATAGTCACAAAACACTTAAAATTCATTTTCTGCTACCGCAATAAGATTACTCAGGTTCGAATTGAAATAACCATGTTTTCCGAAAGGATCATATGGGTGACCTACAGTAGACCACCAAATAAAACTCAAAATAAAATATACAAAAATTAAATCAATAAACACATTTAGGAACTACTCTGATATGCGCCCTCAAGTCGCCAAATTTCTCGCCAAACATTTTTGGCGAGAAACTCCACGCTGCCATATTGCTATCTAAATTTTTTGTCTACATTTCGAACTTTAAGCCTAAAATGTCTCCAAAAACACGGTTTTCGCGAATGCAAAAACCACGTTTTGAACACACAATTTAAGCTACAAATCCGAAACAAAAACAAAAAATTTAGATAGCAAAACCGTAAAGTTTCTAACCAAAATTATTTGACAAGGGTCCATGTACACAGCGATATGTTTTAACTTAAAAAAAAAAAAAAAAACATCTACGGATGGCACAATCTAGGCAACGAACGAATCTACGAACTACGCACACCTCGCTTTAATAAATTAACAACAATAAATTTCAAATAATACCATGTACACAGCGTCCTGTTTCAACTTAAAAAAAATCTACGAATTGCACAATTTAGGCAACAAACGAATCTACAAACTACGCACACTTCACTTAAATAAATTAACATAACAACAATAAATTTTAAAGAATATCATGTATACAGCGTTCTGTTTCAACTTTAAAAAACATCTACGAATTGCACAATTTAGACGGTACGCACTAATCAACAAAATAACTAAAACAAATTTCAAACAATTAAAAAAAAACAATAACGACAGAAATTCATACTAAAAAAAAAAAACAATGAACATAACATTCTACAAAATAAGAACAAGAATAAAATAAAATGCACTTACCATGAATTAATGCTTTTACGAACAGCAGAAATACCAATTTCATACCGCCACGTAATCACTATCGTATTTATATGACAACCAGACACACTATGCAGAAAATTAATACTATGGTTCACAAATAAAATAAAATAACAAATAATCACAAATCCCTACTTCTATCATGCACAGCCACTAAAAATAATCTCCCAGACCCTCTTTCCACACCTCCAAATACCCACTGTCCCTCAACAGGATGGCCACGACGATATTTCCTTTTGCCGAACTTCAATTCAACAACTTCCACCATTTTATCTTCCCCCCCCTAGCTTCTTAGACACAGAGCATGACGCGAACCAACGAACTCCAGCGAAAGATTTTTCAATGTCAACAGGGTTGCCATACAACACGCAATTGCGCCAAAAGCCAGCGCAGAACACATATCGCCACATTTTGGTGAAATTAGGGCGTATATCAGAGTTGTACCCACATTTATTAAATATTCCAAACACTATAATTTAAAATACCTGGCCAGACTACCCCTACAAAAAATAATCTAAAATTTACTCATTATTTCTCATTTGTTCGCTTATCTCTCATTACGAGTATGAATGCTACAAATCCTTAATTAATAATTCACATTTAGAATTGGAGCAATTTATCCTCTGACATTTAGTAACCAATTAAATTACTTTATATAATACTGAAATTGCAATTACTTCAGTGAAAAATTGCTTTTCAGAAATATTTATTTTAAGACATATCGAAATTACAGAAACATGATCTTTAAACATAAAAAAATAACTTCACTCCCTCTAATTTAGACAAAACACAAGTAAAAAAAAACCAAACAAAAGGAAACAAAAATTCACTCACGGAATCCGCGTACACAATTCTGGGGGCCTCGGGGAGCTGCCTAGATTCAGTCAAAATCGTCGAAACAATAACGGGCAAAACTTCATCGTTGTCAGGAAAACCGATACTGAAGTCTGTTCAAGGCACAACGAGAAATTTCTCATAGTTCCAGTAGGATACTCTGGTCTAGTAGCATGTGCGAACAATCAGTTCTTCCACAAGTGAATAACATTAGAAACATTTTTCTCTATCAAATGTTGCCGGTCAGGGAAAAACGCTGACCCTAGCCACAGAACTTCAGCCTATTTCGCCGATGTCTATCCGATAGGAGCCCTCGACGAGCTCGGACCGGTCCCCGCGGCCGGTCCGGGCTAACCGCTGACCGCGGTTTCGTTTGAAAGGAATATTGTTCACATAGTTTTCCTTGAATAACAAAAGACCCTTCTTGTTGACATCAAGGAAAGTTAAATCATTTCCAAGCGTATTTTTTAATTTCTAGCAAATGTCATAAATTTCTAAATTCAAAAAATCAGTTACTTTCAGCGGAATATCTGCTATCGACTCCATTGTAAACACAGCACATGTGGATGTTGTTGTTACTAGATCACGTGACCACATTTATCCTCTTCTTCTCTTGCGGAATGTATCTCATTGCTATTTAGCTTTTGCAATAAATAAAGAAACTTTTTTTTTTTTTTTTTTTTTTTTTTTTTTTTTTTTTTTTTTTTTTAAGAAGAAATTGTTAAGCATTATCTCTAAATATTCACTCGCCATTTTGATTATCAAACCTTTGTGAGGAAAGCAGATGAAATTACCATATCATAGCAGACAGTTATGAGATATATCAAAAAAATGCTTCCAAATTATATCGTAACAATCTTAAGACCTTGTCCACCTTAACATCTTGTTTTCTCTGGCTTTGGATGAACCAACGGATATACCTGATGTTGCTTTAATCGTATTTATGAGAGGAATTGGAGATAATTTTAATGTCTTTAAAGAACCGGCGGTTTGGAGTAACTGTGGTAAAACAAGGCGACCAGACTCACTTGAAAACGTGAAATCATCCTTCAAAAATATAAAATTGATTTTTGCAAACTCATCAGTGTGTGTCCAGATGCAGCACTAACAACAGTACTGTAACCTTCCTTGGAAAAGTTTAAATTATCCTGTACTAAATATGAACGTCAGACGGTATAAAAAATGATCGAATTATATGACGCATCTGAACTTGACTGTATTGTTGCAAAAAATTGACGTGTAGTACGCAAATATTTGACGACTCCTGTTATGCGCTGTACATTCGAATGCTCTGAATAACATATCACATAATGACAGCCTTTCTCAAACTGCGGGTTGCAACTCTATTTAGGGTCACAAAAATAAATGTTGCGTTGCTAAAATTTAATTCAGATATCTGAATTTGAAGAAACACAAGCTCCCAACTAGAATTGTTTTTCTACAGAATGAGCTATTAACGTCAAGCTTTCAATTTTTTTCGAAACCTATAACTTTCAATGCAGCAAAAGATGACTTTCTCCCTAAAGGTCAAAGATCGTCTTCTAACATATGTCATAGAAGATTTTTAACGACAGTCGAGTAACGTGCATAATTAGTGATCTGCATACGAATATTTGAAAATGCAAGGAAGATATTTCAAGCGTATATCAAAGAATTTTAAAGAATAGCTAAATATACTAAACTGCAAAGTACAATATGATAAATGAAAATTTAATGGAAAGGAATGAACTATGTACTAAAGTGAAAAGTATATAATATGACAAATGAAAATTTAATGAAATGGTATAATATATATTATTACAAAATGGCCAGGCGCGGTGGGATAGCTTCCCTGCAAAGAAGATTTAGAGTTGCCAGAAAATGGCAAAGGAAGCAGGGTTGCCACATTAGGCGAAAAAATTGGCGATATGCCAATAACGGATGCAGAACCTTCTGAAACGAATTCTTACTGCTTTATCCCAGAATGTTCTCGAACGCAACCCAAAAGTTATATAAACGCAGCTGGTACGGTGAGTCCATCGAGTTCATAGTCAATCAGTGCCGAGTCAGTTAAAAGTCAGTGAGCGAGTGTCTCATAGTCTAGTGCCGAGTTGGCCGTCGAGTGCATCCAGAGAGTCTCTTAGTGTATCGCGAGTTAGTGCATCGTCGAGTTCCGAACCGAGTCGGGAACTGTAGTCTAGTGTATCGTCAAGTGCATTGCGTATTGTAGAGCGGACAGTCTCGAGAGTAGGTAAAGTTCGGAGAACGAGCAGAGTCGGGAGCTGTATTCTAGTGCCTTGTTATCAAGCTGTCTTCACCGTTATACCATGATAGGCTAAAGGCTGTATCGCTGATTGTTTCAGCTTGTTTATAGCAGTTTAGTTTTCGACGACTGTAAACGTGATTTTGGAGCTGTCCTGAGAATACTGGCTAATAAATTGTGCTTCGATACTTAAGTGTCGTCCTTATTCACTCCAAATCCACGAACCCGTGCATATGGTAAGAAGAAACAACGCATTTGGTAAGAACAATATACTGAACTGCAGATTACAATTTTATAAAGGAAAATTTAATAGATATGGAATAAAGTCTGTACTTAAGTAAAACGTACTGTGTGACAAACGAAAATTTACTGGAAATGGAAGAAATTTAAGTAAGAGATTTGTAAAACCGATTTGTCTAACTGAATGTGATTTTACGCTTAACGTAAAAAAGTGACAAGACTTTCCATAGATATTATTACTTACCACATTTCCTTTTATTCCAGGGTCTTGTGATTTTGAAGAAGACAAATGCGCTTGGGTCGATGGCGAGGGCGATTACACCTGGGTGAGGAAAAGCGGAAAGTCATTGCTAGAGGATGAGATCGGTCCAAGTAGTGATAAAACGCTGGGAACAAGAGATGGTACCCAACCTCGTATAACTTTCTCCAGTTTATATACTTTTAGACCATTTTATACTATTAATTTTTTGTAAACAAAGATTTAATGTTTCAGCAATAACTCAATGTTAAGAAAATAACTCAAATCGTTGCACTAATAATATTTTCTTGAATATCTTAAGAAGTTTTTATCTCATATTTTTAGTAATTATTGAAATGACTACGTGGTTATTTGTGAATATTCATATCAGAAATACACGGCGATACTTAATATAAAACTATGCAAAAAGATCTGAGAGAAAATTATAAACCGTCGACGTGATTTCTTATAAAAACGATCCAATCCAATGATGCATTGTATTTCCATATTTTATATTTCTAGTTATACAGTTCATAAGTTCTTTTAAATTTAAGTCTGACTTTCCCCAAAATCCAAAATTTTGACTGAAAATCTTCGGCAATATAAGTCTGTTCTATTCGGTAAATTTAAATTATGCGTAGACTTGTTTCTGTACCAATCATTTTTTTTCGACCAGTCGACATTTTATAGAAATTTTGCTTTGTTTTGTACTTTGTCTCTTTCAGCTATTTTAATTTTAGACGATACTTTTTTGTTTTCGAAAGCTGATGAGGTTGCATGCTTTCTTTTTATTTATAATTAATTAATTTGTGATGTAATAAATTTGAAATTCTCCTGATTTCTTAAAATAAATTTTATAACTAGCATAAAATGTTCATGATATTTCTCAGCTAGGATTTTTTTCTTATGTGAAATCGACTATTTAATCAAAATTATCTTTCATTTATTATTTATACCTTTATCACCATGCTCTAGAACTATTAAAAAGAAGCATACAGGCATTTTATTCATTTCTTAAATAATATATTCAAGCTAATTTATTAAATGCTTATCGTAAGATCCTACATTTGTAGAGTTCAATAACATCTTCTAATTTTATCCATATTAGCTGAGATAAATTTTCCAAAAGTTATCCACTGTTACTATACTGACAATATGTGTTATAAAATTATAAAGAAATATCACCTCAGTTTGCACCTCTTCAATTCTTCCTCGTATGAAAAACTCTCGTCTTCGAACTTCATAATATTTCGGGATTATCTGAGGATACTGGCAACAGCAGGAACGAATCATCCTTCTGAATGCCGGGAAAAACACCAAAGTACCATCTCAGTTTGTTTCACTGCGAGATTCGCAATGAAGATAGACTCATAAGACCTTACGCTGCCTTTCTTCTAAGGTGAAAGCCAGGGCTTTCTCACTTAGCTCTCAATTACATGCATCTACTGGTATATATAAAATCAATAATTTTGCTCACTTCTGTAAATACTGCAATTTTAAGCAGTTGACAGCACTCGAAAAGGTGACCAGCCACGTGACATGGTACTGGAAATCTGCTATATCTTTTCAGCTTTGACTCTAATCTTGTCACGCCTATATATGTAAATATCAGCTATAGAGTGCTACACGCACCTATTCGATTTTGTATTTTCCTAATTTATTTTATGTTTTACGTAATTAATGATTTTCAGCGCTTATTTTCTGGAGAACTCTGCACCAATGACATGCCTACTGGTCATTACGGAGCTTTGCAATTCCCACCCGGCCCTACGGGATCAAATTTGCTCACTTCAGTACTTGCCTCAGTCTGTGAAGCACTGGTCTGATAGCCGGAACACACCCTGCATTTTGCAGGTTACTTGTAGGTAATAGCAACAGTCGGAGTTGGAGCATCTCTCCTTTCCACCTCCTCTTATCCGTCCTCGCAGGTCATCACATTGTCATGAACCAAGGAAAATCAGGCTTAGTTAAAGGCATTACCTCAGTCTGAGCTGGTAACTTCGCGCTTGAGATAATTCAGTATTATTATTGGTATTGGCATGAGTTTGGGAGTATCGTGGTTAACACTTCCTGGTAACAAGTAGCCGATTCGTAGTTTATGTTTCAGAGATCGTACGCTTGCCTGTTTATGTTTTAGATTTTTTCGCACGACTGCCTGTTTATGTTTCATTCTCAGAAAGCGATAATATTCTGTTTACTAATGTCCGAAACATGATAACAATAAATCACCACTAAATTTGTTTGACTTGCATGCATTCCTCCTCCTCCCATTCATGCTTTAAATTTCTGAAAGTTAAAAATGTCTAATTTCCCTGTTCATATTATCCTGGTGTAAGTGGTTATCACATCCAGCAAGGAATTCAAAGATCCATTTCTTATTCTCGATAATGCAGCGTTGAATGTTCTATATTTTTAAAAGGATAGTATCTTCTACAGACATATACAAACAAATACAACAGAATGTGTTATGCAATATATATACTGTATAAAACACCTGCTGAATTATGTAATTAACCAAAGTTTATCTGAAATTGACAATGGCTTTATTGTAAAATTCTATTCCCTTCAAGTAAGATGGGCACCCAACTCTTGTTCTTCAAGAAGCGAAAACGCTCACACGTTATAAAATATAGAATATGCAAAACCTAAGGAAAAGGGGAAAAATGAAACTTATATCTGATTGATAGGCTGCTATTTCTGCATTCATACCGTGGCATATTTAGTGTTTAAATTGATTTATACTTTGATAAAAAGACAACTTTAGATGTGGTTTTAAAAAAAGATGAAATTTTTAATTCTGTCTTTAACTTTTAAAACTTTTATGATTTTGAATTTATGTTATAATACAGAAATTATTATGGCTAATATTATGGCACTTTAATTTACTTAATTTTATTACATATTTTAAATCCTAGTGCTTATATATGTATATATATATTCAGGTTTATGGAAATTCCATTACCATGAAGGAATCATTATAATTGAATGAATTTATTACTACGTGGGCAACTTGTAATTAATTATACACAGAAATATTTAAATTTACAAAGCAACCCGTTAATACCAAATGCTAAAAATTAGTACCTATGAAGATGGCATGGGATGCAGTAAGAGCTTGTAATCGTTGTGTTAAAAACAAACGGATTCACCAGCGCGTTGCCAGCCTGCAAAATTTCATACATACATGTTCAATTTGCGACAGCCGATGTGACTGGGGAGAAGTAGAAGTAGAAGTAGTACCTGGCATGCTTGAGAAAAAGTCGAATGTTTTTAGAGATACGTGTGGATGGCCCTTGTTCTGCTGATATACACCTTCAGGAATGTGTGGAATGAAGAATACGATTTCGGGCTCCACATACCATCTGCTTTAGGAACTACTGGTCATAATACCCTAAGTTCTTAGCAGATGAAATTGCCCATAATACCCAATGACGCCCCAAGCGATCGTCTGTTATAATGTTTGATGATATATTTCGTCATATGATGTTCACTCTTTTATTGTCTAAACGCGCACTCTAGCATCGGTGTATTCGTATTCCAAATAGCGTACAAATACCGGTGTATTGTATACCATTCTGTTCCATATTAAAACGGAATTCGTCGGAAAAGACAATCTAATGCGAATTGGCATGCCAGGGATTGTGTTGAACCCATTCTAGCCCCGAATGTCTACCGGGTTTTATCAGGGAAATCTTCTGCGTAGGAATTTTGGCTGATGCACCATAATGCAATCTACAGCGCGAGAGATGTCAGTGAACTGTTGAAGCTATCCAACATAGTGCCAGCTATCGAGAGGAAACTGTCTGCTCCATCACTGTCATTCGGAAGAGGTGTCTGTTTTAACGTACTGAGTTAGGATTTGTGGTTCGGACACGACTTCTGTGGCTTATTAAACTCTCTACTCTCATGTACTGACAAGACATTATGCTTCAGAGGAACTGCGATCTTACAACAGAAAATGTTTCGTCTCGCAGGTTGAATACTTGCCCTCCGATCAAACACCATAACCTGCCTGCATTCAGCTCCATGTCATTTATAATGTACAGTAACTTCGCATAAAACGGTTCTTGCTGGTGGATGAAGAAATATGACTTCTAAAAATCCTCCTTTTGTGCGGATTATAAACAAATTTAGAAACATTTTATCGTGCTACTCATCTTACGCATGCGCTGTCGCTCTGAAATTCGAGTCATTTCCATGTCTAATCTGTTATGCATTCCTAGTTCAACTTATTTACATGATTCTTTCATGGTGTTGCAATTTTCACAAACTGAAATGTATAGAGGACAAGTGTCATTTTTTTCTCGTTAGGATACTACGTCGTCATTAGTACTGAAAAGGAACAGCCTGTCAAATTGGCGAATTTGGAAAGTGAACTCTTCCGCGCTACGAATAATTCCCTATGTCTCAATTTTTATTACTACTCGTATGGATGGGATGTCGGGACGTTGTTGGTATGTATCTCCATCAATCTCTATCAAAAAAAAATTCAAAATTTTGTCGAATGTATTGTATTTAAATTTATCTTTTGTTGTCTTATCTTAAAACTAGCTTGGATTTCTGATGCTTACGTTTGCTTATTTCTCTCAGCCCACGATAACAATTGCTTGCATCCTATAGATTATATTTCTTTTCGACAACTCAGTATTCTAGGTTTCTGCGACCACATGCTAAGAAATTATACAAATATAATATTTCGCAACTTGGAAAAGGAACGATTAAAATTACGATTAATATGACAGTGAAATTATATTACTATTTTTAATAAAGGTTCTGAGCAAAGATTTGTCAGAAATCAATTATTTCATATTACCTTTGCATAACTTTAATACCAACATCTAAATATTAGTTTTAAAGAGGAAAATATTCCTTACTCTTTAAGATTTACAGTATTATGTAAATAATTTCTTGCTACTTAGAAAAATTACTTGATCTATTTCTAACATAATAATTCTGGTTTTCTACAAAACATCGCAGAAGAAGCATTATGTGTAAAACTGGCATAATGAGAGCCTCATCGGTGCAAAAAATCTGATGGGGAAGAAAGCGAGAAGAGGATACCTCAAGCGTTTTTACTTCCTTATGCGATATAAAAAGGAAGTATTGTAATCGTGAAAAGTTTCGGGCAGCATATTTCAACGAAAATATCCAGTTTGACCGCTATCGAATGCAATTTAATGATGTTTTTGCGTGACATCTGTACGTAAGGACAGAATAAAGACTCTTTTCCTGCAAAAAAATTATAAAACTGCTTTAAAATGGATTCTGAAGATAATTTTTCGTGGCGTCTGTACGTACGTACGTATCTCGCATAACTACAAAACAAGTAGCCTCGGAACGTTGAAATTTTGTATGTAGGACTGCTATAACATGTAGCTGTGTACGTCGTATTTTTGGTAGCAATCGGCCGTACGAAACATATATAAATATATTTATATATATATATATATCCACTCTGCTACCTGGCTCAGTGATCTTAGTTTCTTTACTCTTACATGTTTGTAAAATAAAAATTTTTTGCTTTGTAAGTTGTGCATTTTTCGCTTTGTAAGTTGTGCATTTTTCGCTTCAAAAGTGATTGAATTATATTGTTCTTAGCTTCCGGTTAAGGTTTTTATGCTTTTAGTAAATCTGCAAGCAATATTTGTACAATTATAAAAAATTTAAAAGCTGTTTGAGAGCGGCTAAGCCTAATTTTTAAACAACATGGCGGACATATTTGTTTACTTTTGAAACAACAGAATATTAGATTTACTACCAATCCAGAGAGACTAAGCATTGCAATAACAAAAATAACGCGCTCGCTTATTATTGCGAATTAAATCATGCTTAATCCTTTCTGGAATTTTTCGAGGAAATAAATGTTTAATATTTACTTCGTAATTTTTAGTAGAGATATTTTGAGTTTTTATGTATTTTTGCCTTGTCGCGAAGTGAGAACTGAATTAATTAAATGAGAAATACTAATTCGTTTGTAAAAAAACTGTTTCTTTTCTCGACTAGAAGAGAAACACGCTAATGTGACAATCAAAATCGTAAAAACAACCTTGTATTTAGCGTAGGTATAATGAAACACTCAATCGATTTCGAGGGCAGCTAAAGGTCCCTCCTCATCAGGAGAAAGAAGAAAATAAAGGAGAAGGAGTCACAGAAACACGTGGTCCTTATCAGCACTGCACGTGGTTAAAACTGGATATTTAATCAGAGTTGCACTGGCCGCCTACTTTTACTGAGCCAGGCTATCTGATCAAGTATAAAGGACAAGAAAAATTAGCGGAGTTAAAATAGGGAGCGAGGGGCAAAATGCACCTTCACGCTCAAAATCTGAACTTCAAATAATGGTGTTTTGGTGTATTTAATTATGGCAAAGCACACTAGGACTATCTGCCTAAGGGGAGGGATGCCTTCATGGAGGACTTTCTAAGGGAAACTGGCTCGTATACACGTTACACATGGGGAAAACCATGAAAACGCCCATGCAGCCAGCCCGTTCGCGGGATTCGAACCTCGGACCGAACTACCAGTGTTCAGCGACTTTACCGCTCGGCCGCTGGTGGGCTTCAAATAATGGAAAGCAACCACTGAACGGATTTTTATACCCTCTGGCAGTACCAAACGCGAGAAGGTAACGCCATCTATCGACAAAAATAACTGAATTAAGATAGCAGAATTTTAAAGGCATTAGGAAGGACTGGATTGGACTTCAAATCATTAACTAAACCTGCTAAAAATCTTTGTGAATGGTGAAAAGCCGCCTCAAGAAAATCCAATTCACCTATGGAAGAAGCCTTTTGGATAATTTTTGCAGACCCAAAGTTAAAATTATGGTTAAAATGTCCAACTAAGATACGCTATTGAAGACTTGTTAATTTTCGCCTTTTCTGACATAGATTCATGTTCCTGCTACGAAACTTCAACGCTCTTCTTGTTTGGTGGCCAATATATCTTAAACCCACACGACACGATATACTATAAATTCCCCAAGAATTCAAGACAGAAACGCAATCTTTTAGAATCGAAGGGTGAATTTTATTAATAGGGGAGAAAACCCGACTTGAAAATTGAATTTCTGGAGAATCCGTGAAATTTTATAGCTAACAGATGATAAAATGGCAGCACGACAAGGTCATTAATATTATTTTCTAACAGTGGAATGTCTTCTTGATGGAATCTGAAAATTTTTTAACAGCTTTATTATCAATAATCCACGGGAGAAAATCCACGTTCAATCGCAACTGTTCTCAAATAATTAAGTTCATTGGTAAGCAAAGATTCAGAGGAACAAACTTTAAGCGCGCGGATACATAATAGTAAAAAGAAGCCATTTTTTTGCTTAACAGGGTGGCATGACTTGGCATGGGGTGGTAAACAAACTGCAAAGGGTTTACGGTACACAGTGGTGCTAAAATCTGTTTCATTGCGGATTATAAGAATATCAAGGAAGGAGAGAGAATTGTTGGTTTCAATTTTAAGAGTGAATTGGATGGCTGGATCAATTGAATTCATAATAGATAGAATCTCGGATAAATCCTCTTTATAACATATAGTCATAAAGAGCATTAAAGTTTGTTCCTCTGAATCTTTGCTTACTAACAAACTTAATTATTTGAGAGCAGTTGCGATTGACCGTGGATTTTCTCCCGTGATTATTGATAAAGCTGTTAAAAAATTTTCAGATTCCCATCAAAGAAGACATTCCACTGTTAGAAATAATATCAATGACCTTGTCGTGCTGCCATTTTATCCTTCTGTTAGCTATAAAATTTCACGGATTCTCCAGAAATTCAATTTTCAAGTCGGTTTCTCCCCTATTAATAAAATTCACCCTTCGATTCTAAAAGATTGCGTTTCTGTCTTGAATTCTTGGGGAATTTATAGTATATCGTGTCAGTGTGGTTTAAGATATATTGGCCAAACAAGAAGAGCGTTGAAGTTTCGTAGCAAGGAACATGAATCTTATGTCAGAAAGGGCGAAATTAACAAGTCTTCAATAGCGTATCTTAGTTGGACATTTAACCATAATTTTGACTTTGGGTCTGCAAAAATTATCCAAAAGGCTTCTTCCGTTAGGTGAATTGGATTTTCTTGAGGCTTTTTATAATCACAACGATTTAGCATGTTTAGTGAATGATTTTAAGTCCAATCCAGTTCCTTCCTAATGCCTTTAAAATTCTATATCTTAATTCAGTTATTTTTGCCGATAGATGGCGTTACCTCTCGCGTTTGGTACTGCCAGAGGGTATAAAAATCCGTTCAGTGGTTGCTTTCCATTAGTTTGCAGTGGAGCAGCGGTAAGGGTAGGTTGTCTGTCGACGTTGCTCTTTTCCACCTGCGAGTTGCACCTGCGTGTTCTACCCGTACTTGGATGACGTGTTTTCCCGCCTCGGTGTTGGAGATCGTCTGCGTTTTCGCTTTGTGGTTGCTTATCTTGTGCCACTGATCGTTCATCACTGAATTGTTGGATTTCGATCCTTCGATTTTTTACTGTTTTGGATTGTTACTCTTTAGCTTTGACTATCAGTGCTGAAGACAAGGGCCTTGTGAAGTCCCGCCGGCTCATCCAGAACACCTTCGTGTGGGTCTGGTTCCGGAGCGCCGGACTCCATTAATTTGCTTATGAATGATGGAACCATTTTTGAAAGTTTTTTGCGGCTACCGTTGAGGAGCTGAGAGTTAAGAAACAAAATGGAAATCTTTCTATCAAAGAAGACAAAGAATTTGATCTACTTCAAAAAGTGTATGATGCCTTAATTACTGCTCACAAAGAAATTGAAGAGTCATTAGAACATCAAGAAGAAACTCCTTCTACACCTACAGAAAGTGAATGGAAAATTGTCAAAAGAAAACGTATGAAAGGCTCACCTAATAAGCCAAATAAAGACAATTCAACTGAAATTCCTTTCGAACAAGAAACGGATAGTTCAGGTAACGAAACTGAACAAAAACCCAAAGGAGATCGTAGTGTGGGTAAAAGGAAAAAGGGTCATTTTCGTCCCATTAATCCTTCTCAGCTCAAACCAGTTGTTACTCCTTCCATTAATAGTCAAGAATCAATGGACACTAGTCCTGTTGTTCCAAATGAATCTCAGATAAATGAAGAAATACAAAACGATCAAAACAAAAAAAGGCAAAGCGCCACCTGCCATTTATATAAATGATAAAAAATTTGATTGGAAAGAACTAAAAGCGTTATTTGCAGAACATAAATTATCAGACAAATCTGATTACACAGGTTACATTCAAAAAGAAGGCTTTAAAATTAAAGTCTCTCATGTCAACATTCATAGAGAAATGACAAGTGTTCTGAACAAAAAGGAAATTAAATATCACTCCTTTCTCTTGCCTGATGAGAAGAATCATAAAGTGGTCTTCCGTCATCTTACAATGGACACAGATCCTGATGAAATCAAAGAAGAACTTTTAAGCAAAAATTACGAAGTTATAAGTGTCAGTCAACTCTCTCGTAGATTTAAAGGAGAAGTTAAAAAATTTCCACTTTTTCTTATCACTCTGAAGAAAAATGAAAAATCTAAAGAAATTTCTAAAGAACCAAACAAAAATTTGTGGATTACATATCAAAGTCGAACCATATAAAGGACGCTCTGGCCCAGTCCAGTGCTTCCGATGTCAAGGATTTCACCATTCACAAGCTGCTTGCCACAATGACTTTAGATGTGTTAAATGTGGTGATAACCATGACTCAAGAACCTGTCAAAAAGACAAGAATGCACCTGCTAAATGTGCAAATTGTGGTCTAGACCACACAGCTTCATTTAAAGGTTGTGAAAAGTTTCCGAAGCAAGCTAAAAAAGAACAAATCAAATCATATGCTGATAGGTTTATTATCAATAAGTCTTTTGCTGAAGCCATCAAAACTAATAACAATCCTTCTCCAAATCTTATTGCAGAAGCAAAAAAGATATTTGATGACCTTAATACTCTAGTCACCTTCCTGAAAAACTCAGGAATACAACTCCTTGCGCAAAACATCATCCGTCAAAATGCCACTAATACAGTATCAGATGAAACTAATTCTGACCAGCATATTCAATAAGTCAGATTCGCTTAAACTTTGCTATTGGAATGCTGCTGGCATTGTTAACAAAATTGATGAACTTTCGGACTTTTTTATAGAATATAACATAGATATTGGCATGATCTCTGAAACGCATGTTGTTCCTGCCGATAGACTGTATATTGCTAATTATCGCACCTACAGAGGTGATAGACTTTCACAAAGAAGAGGAGGAGCTGCAATTTTTGTTAAAAACTCTCTGCAATCCTGTCTTGTCTCGACAAACTCTGCTTCTGGATTCGAAAGTGTGACTGTTGCTGTTATACTCCCACAATTTGGTACCATCCATTTTACGGCTATTTATAATCCACCACGAAACCGACTTTCTGAAAATATGTTAAAAAAACTTACTTCCTGAAGATCAGCAAGTTATTATTGCCGGAGACATGAATGCTAAGCACCTCGAATGGGGATGTCGTCGTTCGTTCTAACACCAATGGACGTATTATGCATAATTTTATCTGCAATCATCCTGTCGCATTACATGTACCTTCTGAAGCCACTTATCGTCCTGCCTCTCCAAATCTCTCGGACATCTTGGATATTATCCTTACAAATACTTCTATCCCTATTTCCTTGGAAGTCAAGGCAGAACTTACATCTGATCATGTACCTGTCATTGCTTCTCTTGGTGTTTCTAAAGAAGACCCTCCTATTACCAGAAATAATACTGACTGGATTACTTTTCACAATATCTTAATCAAACATCCTCCTATTTTCACTTCACTTTCTACCAAACAGGATATCGATCTTGCCATTCATATCTTCACTGACAGTATACTGAAAGCTTTCAGAGATGCTACAGTTACCATTCAATTAACTAACAATAATATTCGACTTCCTCGCAGTATCAGAGACATTATCAAAGAAAGAAACCGATTGCTGAAGCTTTGGCACCGTAACTGGGACCCTGCCCTTAAAAGAGAAATCAATATTTTTAATAGAAGAATCAAGAAACTTATCACTGATTTTAAAAAGGAAACAAGAGAAGATTTTATATCTAAACTTAATATTAATGATGGTTCTCTGTGGAAGTATCTTCAAAATCTTAAAAGAAGTAGTATTAATAATAGACCTATTCATACGGATACTAAAATTGCCTACTCACTTAAAGATAAAGTCGATATTTTCGCTGAATACCTGGAAAAGCAGTTTACTCCTAATATGGAGCCTATGAATCAGACCTTTAAAGATGTTCTCGAAAAACTATGTGTATTCCTGGCTTCATTCTTCTTCGGCTCATAACATCCCAAGGCTTACTTCTCCTATGGAAATTACTAATATTATTAAATATCTCAACATCAAAAAAGCTCCTGGAAGTGATCAAATTACAAATAAAATGCTTCGTAACTTACCTAGAAAACTTATCAGTAAATTCGCTAGTATTCTCAACGCTTGTCTTGCTCTCAACTATTTCCCTGATCCTTGGAAGCAAGCCAAGATCTTTCTTCTTCCCAAACCGGGTAAAGATGTGACCAAGCCTGATGGCTATCGTCCTATCAGTTTGTTATCCAGCCTTGGTAAAATTTATGAAAGACTTATTCTCACTAGATTGGAACCTTTTCTTCACCTGCTACCTAATGATCAGTACGGATTCAGAAAAAAACCTCAGTACTACTCGACAACTAGTAAGAATTGTAGAATTTGTGGGATCTGCATTCCATAACAAGCAAAGTGTTGCGCTCCTTATGCTGGACGTGGCAAAAGCCTTTGACCGCGTCTGGCATGAGGGGCTCGTCTTCAAGCTTATCAACTTGGGACTTCCTAGAGAGCTCATTCTTCTGATCTTCTCCTTTTTGCAAACCCGCACTTTCTTCTTCGTCGCTCAAGGAAATGAAAAATCCAATTCAAGACCTATAAGATCCAGCGTCCCACAAGGAAGTATTCTCGGTCCAGTACTATATCTTTTCTACATATCAGATTTTCCTCACCCTGGTTTGGACAATTACTCTCTGTTAGCATGTTATGCCGACGATACGGCGATTGCAATTAAATCCATTCAAGCTAATCATGCAATAGACAAAATGCAAAATTACCTCTATGCCGTAGAAGACTGGTGCACAAATTGGCGAGTAAAAATCAATGCTAGCAAGTCACAACTTTTAATTCTTAGCAAAACTAAGAAAAACATTGCTTTTAAAGACCTCTACCTTTTTCAGGAAGCTGTTCCTCTGGTCACAAAGGCCAAATACTTAGGAATTATTTTGAACCAAAGGCTCACATGGTCTAATCACATTAATAGTGTCAAGAGCAAAGCCATGGGCATAATATGCAGATTTCTCCCGGTCATTGGAAAATATTCAAATCTTAGCTTGCGTACCAAAAAACATATATATACCACTTGCATTCGACCGATACTTTGTTATGCTGCTCCTGCTTGGAACACGGTCACTCAAACTCAACTGCATCAATTACAAGTAGTGCAAAACAAATTTCTGCGCATTATTACTGATTCTCACTATCTTATCTTATCCGCAATAAACTTTTACACAGAGACTTAAAACTTGAGACGATTCCAGATTACATCAGAAGATCTAATGAAAAATTCTTCAACAAAGCTGTGCAATGTGACTTTGTTAATTACTCCCAAGTTTTTTTAATTATGAAATTCTCTTCGAAGATAGAAGCGTCAGACCACTTGCAGCTCACACCTTCATGGGAGGAGACGACAACTTTTTCACTTAGATCCTCAATTGTTAGCTATTTACACTTCCAATGCATCTGATTTTGATTGAAGTTCTTCTGTCTGTTGCTTCGTTGAATAATTGTATTTAAATTGTGTTGTATAGTTGTTTTTTGTATTGTGTTGTATTTAGCACTACTGATTGATGTTGTTTAATTATATTTGAATTTGTCATTGGAACTATTGCTGTAGTGTATCTTCTCGTATTGTTGTCATTGATTTCCATTGTCTTGGGTCCTTGGGTCCTCCTTGAAAGCTATGATCGCTCGTCACCTTTTGCGAACTTGTCCGATTGGATTGTCTTGCTCCTTTTGGTACTTCTCTTCTTCCCCTTATCTCCGTTTTCTCATCTGAGATTTTCTCCACGTCCGGATTTATTTATGTCAAGTGCCCTTGGGCTTTAATTTTGGAACCGGCAACATTGCTCTTCGCAACTCGTCAATTATAAAGTCTAAGCTCAATTGAAGAAGCTAATGAGGAAACTCCATGCTTTCATGCGGTAAAGTAGGGCCTGACTAAAATATAACGTCTGCTGAGGAATGTTTTGTGACTCCTTCTCCTTTATTTTCTTTATTTTCTTTCTTTCTAGGTATTTCTTTTTCTCCTGATGAGGAGGGACCTTTAGCTGCCCTCGAAATCGATTGAGTGTTTCATTATACCTACGCTAAATACAAGGTTGTTTTTACGATTTTGATTGTTTCTTTTCTGTTTCGTTTGCTTAATTTCTTTTATACATCGTTCTAGATTTATTATAGTATTTGAATAGAACATGTAGCAACGATTAGATAATTCTTCAAATGATATAAATTTTTTGAATTCTAAGTTACAATATGAACGAAATATAACGCTGTTAAGTGAACCTAACGCCAGAGTGTCGCTATAGTAAACAAACGTAGTGAATTTTAAAGAGTGCATTTATTTTATTGTTGTTTATGCGCTATCGACGAAGTAGATTTAATTTAATCCCATAAGTTTAAATGAAATGGAAGAAAAATGCGTATAATTTAATATTCCGTACAAGGAAGTCATGTGGTGTACTCATCAGATTTTTTTGTTACGGTATTTGTGCACTTTGTAGAAGGAGGGAATTCCTTACTTTTAAAGGGGAAAAGTAATTTTTTCGTTAATTATAAAGTGCAGGATATTTGCATTGTATATTGTATATATGAAACTAAGTAATCTTTGTTCTTTCCTGGCGTAGTTCTTCGGCCTGAAGATATATATGATTATAGCAAAGCACTCGAGGGCAATAACTTCGTGGAGAACGTTTTAAGGGAAACTGGCTCGTATACACGTTCACACACGGGGAAATCTACGAAAACGCCCATGCAGCCAACCCGTTTGCCTGGTATCGAACCCCGAACCGCTCGGCCACTGATGCACGCATGAATTAAAGTGTTGATTGCAGTTGCACATTATTATAATTCTCTAAGGGCTTAAACAAACTTCTAATAATCAATCAGTCATTTTTTTTCCTTTTCTAAGAACATATATTTGTAAAACCTTGATTTACTTTAAACTGCCTTTACTACATTTAAACTGTAATGAAATCTTATATGGAAATATTTCACTTCGGGTTAGGTGGTCAGAAAAGACGAAAATGGGACAGAATCAATAGTTTGGAGACTGCAAGATTCGACAACAGAATATCGATGGATGAAGGGTACTGTATCCCTAAATCCAAGATCCTCAGAAACTCGAGTACGTATTTTAGATTTTACCTAAGAAAATGCGTGATACTTACATAAGTTTTGGAAATTATATTTAAATATCTGTAACATTCACTTATATAAGTTTAAGTTCAGTTCTTTTGAATCAATAGAACTGTTAATTGTTCAGCAATGCACAGTATCTTCCCTCCACTGTTCCTCTTCTTTTCAATTGTCTTGCTTCTGTACAGACATATATTTTATAACTTATAAACATGTTATGTAGCATTTATATTGATTTCTGTAATGAGTTGTGTTGAAAGTTATTTTTGTAAGAAAATATTTAAACTCTGGATTTTGGCCACTTGTGGTTTCAAAGCCAAGTTATCGTCCAATGCTTAAAAAAAGTAGTGTTTATATCCCTAAATTTCAAACTGCAACAACTGAGATGTATTAAGAGATATGGTCTAGAACTTTTTATTACCTCATAAGTTGCATTCATTCTAAAATTATTGCGGTTGCAGTGAGAATGAAACAGGAATTTTTATCGATATTTAAAAACACAAATTAAATATATAATCATATTGCACTTTTTATTTACGTACCTTTAATAATTGAAAGTATTTTAATACTCTCAGTTTCAGGCTGTTTTCCGAGCTATCCTTGGATCTCCTGGGTTTTTCGCAATTGATGACATTCGAGTTCGAGCTGGAGAGACACATTGCCATACTTCACCTTCCAGGGCAGATCCAGCATTTACAGGTATGCAGCATTCTTTTATAATACCTAACGTGACTTCTGTTACCTAACGTAAACTGTGTATTCCTTTGGATGTAACTAGCAATATCTGATAAAGTTCCAATCTTATCCTCAACTCAGAAATGTTTTGAATTTTAACAACTTTCAAGATACCTATTCAATACAAGCTTAGCGCTCTGTCCACACTTCCCTGGAGCAAAATTGTCTTATAGTGATATAATTGCAACATGCAGGTAACATAAATTGATGGTAATTAAACGTACACATTATACAGTGCTGTGCAGTTATATTAATACGCTGAATGGCACGCGAAATTTAAGGTTACAGTGAGCAAAAGATTTTGAAAAGTATTTTGCTAAATTAGTCAGTTAAATGCAAACAATGTTCACAGTAGCAAATTAAACAAATACAATAAATTATAATAATTATATTTCTGCTAAACATTCAGATGATATATGAAATATAAAACCAGATTATTTTACTTAATTTATCATATGTTATATTAAAACTTTCCTAACTCCTGATGTTACGAAAAATAGAAAATCTCGTTACGAGTTATTTTACAATTTACACAAGAAACGAGCCCAATAAAGCAAATTACAGAATTTTATTTTACAATTTTGATATTTCCTCAAAAAGCTTAACGAAATTCCTAAATTTCAAATTAATTAAATCACTCATGAACTTCAACACTGGCACAACTGTAAAATGGAGTTTTTAGATAAATGCGACTATGGTTTTCCTTGGTTTTGAAAACAGGAATCACACTCTCGAATTAAGGAGTAAACATTACATGAAGGCTTCATAAAAGTTCTGTTAATAATAAAATTTATATAAAAACATTTTTAATTAATATACATTATTTAATGATAAACTGTATCAAGGCGTGTTATTGTTGTTATTTTTTTAAGAATTACACTGGAATTTCATAATGAATGAATAATGTGAAAATTTTAGAAGCAACAATTTGTTTCATTAAAATTATGAGCCTTATAAAGTATTTTCTCCCTCCTTTTCGCCTGCCTACGTGGTATTATTGGGAGTATACTCGACGCGCATTCTAGTGGTCCAGGGTCCGAATCTCGGCGATGACATTGCAGGTTTCGTATGCATTCTTCTTTAAAATAAATTAATGACTCTACGCCACATTGGGTCATTTGCTACATAATTATAAAGGGGCGTTCTTAATGTGTAATGGTACATCATTACTCAAAATACAAAAGAAAATGTGCAACTGAGATAAGTTTCGAAATACTTTTGTGATTCAACTGTTTCATTGTTGTAAAATGATGAGTAACAACTTAGTATTGGACTGCTGGAGATTAGACTTAGCTTGATCGTCAAATTCCTTCTTAGATATTGCAAGAGGCTTATTTTCTGCATTTTTGAGTGCTTCTTCCTGGAAGGACCGCTAATTTTTACTGTTTCAAGAAGCTTTCACATTGTCTGTTTCTAAAACTGTTTCTTTAAACAAAGGTTTTGTAGAAGAAATAGTCCAACGGTTATTTTTCTATGTTCAGTGCAGGTCACAGTTAAAAAACGGGTCCGAACACCGGGCCGGCTTAAATAGATTATTTGGGTTTTGTCCGTACCCCCACAGCTGTATAACTTAGTACGTAGTAGGAAAATTAATTTTAAGTGTGTTGTAGCTATACCATCGGATTAATTAATTTATCTGAACTGGTGGTTTGACTTCTTACTTGTGGGATATATCTTTCCCTGGTGTTTTGAAGTGTTCCTTATTATATTTAAATGAAAAGTGTTTGTGGCTATCTCTAGAGTTGTACTGAAATTTATGTGTTTTTAGGAAAGTCAGTGGATTTAGTTTTATTTTAGTGAGAGATAGCATTTTTGATGAATTTGTTACTGAAATGTAATTTTACATTTCGCATTTTGTTTGAAAATTAATCTTTTTAGATATTTGTTACACTAAAACACCAGGGAGGGTACTTCTTTACATTATTGACTTAATCAAATTACTTAATATAATACTCAATACACATTAAATCAGTGACGATTTCTTTCAAGAAACATTGATTTTCCCTAAATTTAATTCAAGTTGTAACTCATCTCAATTAAACATTTCTTTCAAAAACATTCACTTTCTCAATTATTAATTAAATAACCAATCACAAACGAAAACGAGAAGAAAATATACACTCACGGATGTCGAATACACATCAGTGTATTGGGGTTCAGGGAGCTGCCAGACAGTTTCTTTTATATATCGAAAACTATAATCGGTCGAAGTCCTCATAGTGTTCATAACCACAGTCTGCTGAAGGCACTCAAGGTTGGATACTTCATCGTTGTTTAAAGCAAAGCCCAAAGGCTGCCTCACGATGTCAGCTTCTTCCCTTTCTTCTCATAGTTCCTGCGCACCAAGAACTTGCTACTTGCTACTTCTGTCTAGTAGCAAATTATCACAAAATTAGCCTTCCCTTTTATCCGATGTTCCCCAATGAGGATAACGGCATGCAATAGACAACTGGAGATGACGACCCACCCGCTTATTAATTTTCCTCAGAAATCTGGAGTCACAGCAAGAGCATCCTGAATTGTTTTCCAGCAAAGGAAAAAAAAATCAGCGACGAAACCAAAAGAAAAATCTCCCAGAACTACTTGTCAAGGAAATGCGGGACCTAGACCCAGTTCTTCAGTCACAATCGTCGACAACTATCAGGATAGAAGCCCGCAAAGCACTCGTTCCGGCCCCCGCAGCTCGCGAGCCACTGGGAGGCGATAAATTACCTCCGCTTTGTCCCTTTTAAATTCCTCTCGGTAAATTCTGCTAAAAATCTCTAAAAAATTAGAAAAATCTCGAAGAAGCTGCTGTTGCCTCTTCTGCAACCACTTTTAAAACCTCGGTAACGCTGCAAATTACGGACCGCCTCTATATTCACTATTGGCTCAAAATATGTATAAAATTATATCTATCCAATCCAACACAAAACTTGAATCACCTCTAACCAACCAGAACAAGAGCAATAACTAACCTCCAAATTTCAAAGAAACAAGACTCCCTTTTTAAAGTGACACACCCCTTCGCGCGCTAACAACAAGGAATGATTTCAACCATAATTCTGCCAAGTAGCGACGCCAGTTAGAAATTTTTGCCTCAAAACCAGCAAACCACATGTTGAGCCCAGAATGTTAATGGGAGGAAAGGGCAGCTGGCCGCCGACCTTTGACCCCAAAGTGGTCGCGGAAACGGAAAAAGAGAGAACGTAAAAAATCCGCCTTTTAGCTGTACCAAATTTCCCACTAACTAATAAGAGCTTTCCCGTATTCAAACAAAAATAGTTTTAACAATAATATTTTTTAAATTAATTCTCAGATACGAACATTAAAAATCCACTAATCATTTTAAGTTAATATATTCACTAAACACTGTAAAATAAAGCATAACAAATCTAACACTAATTTGCTCACGACGCTAATTCTCTCATAAGGAGACGTGTTGATGCTCTCAGGTAAACTGAAACATACCTGAATATGCATGTAAAATACTATTGCATACATAAGACTGGCCTAACACCTAAGTTATTATTGATACACTAAAATACACTAGAATTTGCATACACATGCGTGTGTTACAAGGATATATTTTGTACAAATGATCAAGATGTTAATGTATTTATACCCCCTTGCAGGGAATTAGCATTACACATAAAGGAGCAAAAACCTCAATAAGAAGCACACGATATGCATAAATAAATACCATGAGATCATATGCAGAAAATTTCCGGTGTCGAAGAAGGGGAAATTCCGAAGGAGTTTAACGAATCGATTCAGTTTATAAATGACAGGTACTGTGTGAAGTTCCCGTGGATAGCAGGTATGCGGGAGAAATTCGGAAGGAATAGGGAGGTCGCATTGAAGCGTTTTAATAGTAGTTTAGTTCAGAGGTTCAAGAGAGATCTATCATTGTACTAAGCAATATCGGGAGGTTGTTGATAGTTATCATAAAGAAGGAATAGTTGAAATATCTTCTGATTTGTTAAGGGATGATTTATCATTTTACTTACCCCACCACGCTGTTATTCGAGAAAGCAAAGTCAGCAGCCGTCTGCGAATTGTATTTAATGGTGCAGCTCATGGAGAAGGAGAACTTTCACTAAATGACTGTCTCCACACTGGTGCGAACTTGTATCCTAGTTTATTTGAATGCTATTAAAATTTAGGCAAAATTCTGCAGCCTATAAATCTGACATACAGCAAGCCTTCCTGCAAATTCAAATCGACGCAGAAGATCGTCGGTATACTAAATTTTTCTGGATTAATGATCTAAGTTCAAGCAAATTTATTGCGCTGAATTTTACTCGTGTTTTGTTTGGACTTACATCAAGTCCTTACCTGGTCGAAGCTACACTGAAATTTCATTATAAAAATTATCGAAATTTGTATCCAGAAACTTGTGAATTGCTACTAAATTCCTTCTGAGTTGATGATTTTGTTGCTGGAGCTGACGTAGTAGCTCCAGCAACAAAATCATCAAGTAGAGTAGAGACAGCTCTGAAAACCATTCTCGAAAGCATTGAAATTCTTAAAAATACTGAAATGGTGCTAATTCTTAAAATACATCTATGGTGGGTAAGGAAATGGCAGACTAATTCTCTCGAACTTCGCAACCTATGGAAGAGAAATGGTATAGAAACTATTGATACCGAAGAAGCCATCACTGGATATAGTGCGCCATCGAAAGTTCTAGGAATGGGCCGGAATACATACAAGGACTTGATGCTTTTCGACATAAAAAATTTCATGAATATTCTTTCCAACAGATCCAGTACAAAGCGCTTCGCCTTGCAAATATTGGGTCGTATCTTTGACCCAATTGGATTCATCGGACCTTTCATAGTTCGACTTAACCTATTACTTCAAGAACTATGGGAAAGCTGGCGTGGACTGGGATGATGAACTCCCCTCTTCACTACTAGTGGACTACTAGTGGCAGTTGTGGTGCAGCGAAGTTGAATACTTGAATAACGTCGCAGTTCCTA